CGATACCGCACCTACATGTAGTAATAACATTAATAAACTAATAAACATGGACGCGAGATGCAATATATGATATTATATGCAGGGTATTATAGAGAGTTGTTACAAAGTATATTTTTTAAACGTGTCCTTAATCGCGTTTTGACGTACTAGCTATGGAGATAATGACAGAACTAAGACTTGTTATGTATATATAAGAGCTAATATATAATAATTATATAATTTCTGTCATAAAATCTTAGTACGAAGTATTGAACATATTTCATATAGTTTTAAATTCGAGGGAATATACAACCACGATATATATATATATATATATATATATATATATATATATATGTATATATATTTATGTACGAGAAAACTTCGCTGAATTAGCAGTTCGTTCTTTATCATCTCTAACACATGTTTTCAACGACAGTTACGTATGTTATAATTAATTTACCAAATATTTGGACACAATAGCATATGAATTAGTATCATGTAACAACAAGACCGGGATTGTATCGAGTTTAGATTTTGCCGCTCACCCTGTAAACCCTTCGTGGTTTCGTACAATACGATTAGTTATTGATCTCAACGTAAAAGTGAGATCACGAAAGTAAATATGAGTTTTCATGTATCGCAGATTTAGTTATTATTACTTAAACATTATGAGCAACATAGTGCGTATAAATAAAAATAGTAGTTTTCATTATTAAATATAGGCGGCCTTGAAACGAACAAGTTACAAACATGTTTATTTTTTTTTTTTTTTTTTTTTAAATGACGTGNTGAAACGTTTAAATTATGACTGCGAAAGTCGTATTGTTGCGATAGAAGAATAGAACAGTGTAATAGTCAAATGCGTCGCCTTATATAGACCGTAATTACTAATCAAGTTGACCGAGTTCGTCCGGTTAAATTATTTAAATCTTTTTTCCTCGACCAAACCTCCGTTATATCATATTTATTGTAACTTATTAATATCTCTGTATATATATTTATACTATAGTATATATCGATCGTAATAGTAATAACAAACGTCCACGAAGGTAGTTCGTGTTAATGTAAAAAATTCAAGTGAAAATGAGTACACGACGTACGTAAGACGAGTACACGTTTTGCATTCACATTCTCCTAGATCTACGATCTGAGTGCTAACAGACTTTGACATTTGGCACGTTTTGTTCTCACGAATAATCAGCCCGCGTCTGTATAAACGAACATTCTCAGCTAGAAGGGATATTAACATTTAACTCGGTACACATTTTGATTTCATGGCCGTCTTCAAGCTTAATTGAAAATTAGTTACACTAATTGAAAATTAGTTACACAACATTAATCTGCCGTTAATCACATGTAGCCTACGTATATTGAGCAAGTCCCTAATTAAATAATCAAGTATCCTACTAGAGATTAAATTACTTATCTACGAAAGTCAAATGGTCATGGTGCGACTCGCACTATGGTGATCAAATCACTCGAATTTAATGCTGAAAGTTGAGAAAGTAAAAACCGATTATGTGCGTGAATCATACGTAAACGTAATCCAACTGTTCGGACGAATAAGCAATACGACAACTGAGCACAATATTCGATTGTAAAATAAATTACGTATAACGATCAATTCAATAATATCTAACGGCGATATAAAATTGATCGCACTCAAAGACGGCGCCAGCTATGGTCTTATCGTTAAATACAACCGTTACGGTATAATAATAATAATAATTTTTTACGGCTATCTAAAAAGAGATTTGTGCTAGTGTTCGTAATATCGTCGATATATAAACATCCCTCCTTGCTCTCTAAGGGGCCCCTTGTTTCGTAAGGTGTCGTATTTTGAACGAACGAATCGCACGATATTCTACTCTAGGCAGTCGTTTCCCTCCGCTTATTTATTACAGGCAGAACCGTTGTTCCCGTTCGCAGCCTGAAACCGTCACAGATTTCATTTACACCACGAAGTGCTAATAAAAAGGATTACGAGAACCACGTCGCCGGAGGCAGACAAATCACCGCGCAAAGCCGAATTCTCCCGTCTACGCGGCTCCGCAATCGATCTATCCGTCGCTCCGCGCGTACGATTACAGAGAATTGAATGCACTACAACGAGATCTCTAAAAGTTATACCTTTCGATTATAATTTTTTATTTGTCTTTTTATTCCCTTGCTTATTGCCTTCGTATGAGTCGGTCCATTATGTGATTTCCACATGTGATGTACAGAGTAAAAAATTTTGTGTTACAAACGGCCCGCTCAAATCTTTGTGTTTAACAAGGTGAATGTGTTAAGAAGTAATGTGTTAACAAGGTGAATATATTAATTTAACATATATCTGTGTATTTTTCAACATATTTTTCCCCATGTTAAAGTAATGCAAAAATGTCACCGGACTGTCTTTAATACATAATTGTTTACTCTACGACGACGACGCGCATCAAAGGTGCCGTAGTGCACAACAAAGACAACATGGAAAAAAAACACAGTTCCCGAACTGAACTGGGACCGGATGAAAAAAGACTCGGTGGCGAAGAATAAAAACTCGACGAGAGAATAGACCGGGAGCGATCGACTGAATAGAAACCTCCTAAAGGAATCTTTCTACAACTGAGTTTTCGTCATCCCTGAGGTAACGGAAAATTCAGTTACACTAACGAAATTGTCTTTTCCGCGTGCTTCATCACGACGAATGGCGACCTACGCGATTCGTTCTTGCGATCGTAAGATGCCGACTCGATGCCGACGAGTCACGTGTGCGTGTCGGTGGCAGCTACGCCGAAGTGGATCTCGAAGGATTCGATCAATCGCGCGGAGTACATCTGCCTCGTGAGACGCCCGTAAGATCTCCTGGACTCGGCAGCCCCGACCGCAGGTTCGTCCCCGACTGACATCAGGGCGAGCTGATCGCACCGGCGTTCGTATCGAGGTACGAATTGGAGGAGACGCGCGGCACCGATCTCGATGCTACCTTTAAGTTCGCCTGACTGCCGTAGAAGGAGGTGAAGGCCGTGTCGGAGCTGACGCTCAGGGGTAGGCTCGTCGCGTCCATCGTCTCCCTCTCGCTGCCGAGGGTGGACGCCCTTATGTCGAGGGTGCCGCTCACACCTGACATGCCGGAGCTCGTCGCCATCTCCACCTCGCCGACGTCGGGATGAGACATGTGTCTTAAAATCAAATCACTTTTAACGCTTCGACCGTTCGCGCCTCGGGTCGGAGCGACAATTGCCGGCAACGTGGGACCGTCGCCGCGTTCTCAACGCGGACTCTACCTGTAATCCGGAATAGGTGGCTCGATGTGCTGCCTTCGTGAATTCGTCGACATGGGCGTCCTCTTTATCGCGTAAATGTATATGCCGGTCATCGTGAGCGTGTACGAGAAGAAGTACAACGAGTGAAACTGGAAAGGCAGAGGAGGACATCATCATATTGACTTGAACAGTATTTTTTTAGAAAGAGAAAAAGAAAACAACGATAATCACTTCTCGGGCAGATATTTGTCTCGGACGACGTTATGTTAAGTCTTTAACAGAGAATGTCCCAGAAATAAGTGGCTCGACTGTGAGAGCTCGTTTCGTTAACTTTGACGGCAAGAGGAAAGGCCGTCCTTGTACCGAAACGTTGGCCGAATAAAGATCGATTTCGGATCGATCGTTACAGCAAACATCGAGTCGTCGCAACGTGAATAAAACAGCCTACCTTGTATTGATGATTAAGCATCCCCATCAAAATGTTGAATGAATCCGAGGTGAGTAACGCCAACTGCAAGGCTGTAGCGCCCGACTCGAACAATATTACCGGCACCAGAGAGAAGAACATGAACTGTGTGATGCAGTAGAGAATCAGAATCGTTATCACCGGCGCGTTGTCCCAATGGAACGATTCTATTTGAAGCCTCTCGAGGACAGCGCTGTAACGGGACAATCGGAACAAAAAAGAAAAACATGCATTCATTGCGCGCAAGCGCTTCCAACTTTTCTCACAGTGATGTACTTACATCTGCATGCAGCTCAATATCGTGCCGAAAAACCCGATCATACCCAGATACTCGATAATGTCGACCGTCTTAACCGCCAACTCCTGCAGGACCGTCGTCACCGAAAACAATACCGCACCACCGAGACAGAGCATATCGCCAACGAGTTGGTTCTTCCCTGGTACGGCAAAATGCGCATTGCGTGAATCCTCGGTCGCTTTTCCTTATAGCATTAAAGACTAATATGCAGACATTATACGCAAATTTCAGAATTATTGACCATTTTGATAATACAATCTCATAACTTACAATACAATACATATTTAAACACTTATATACCCTTTTTTATTATTTATATTTCTCTATCAGAGCAATTAATGCATAGAAATAACATTAATAAGAGAACCGAGAATAAAAGTCATAATATTTTCGTATTTGTAATATTGTGTATATACATATTTACCTCAATTTTGTTTCAAATTAACATTCATTACTTAGATATGAAATAAATGTATAGGAACGTAATTTTGCTTGATAAATATTAAATTTATGAGCGGCTTCCTCGATGTGCTATTGAAAATGCAACACTAAGAAGCAATGTATCCTTACGAATGAAATTATTTCTCAAGAATCGATTATTACCGGTAGCCGTAGGGTCGTTATTGTCATCTATTCCGGCCCAAACCAGACATCCCACACCCATCAAGCAGACGGATACGCCGACGATGTGCACCATTCGGTATCTAACACCCAGTACCAGAAACGAGAGTACCAAGGCAACCGGTATCGCTACGCAATCGAGGAGCTGAAACATTTTTTTTCACATTTCACGCAATATTCGCATGTTAAAGGACCGACGTGCGGATGCACGACAATGGATAGCTTATAATGCTTGCGTATAGCGACGTTTGATTAAGAACGAGTGGCTCGGAGGGAACGAGCATTGTTAGGTCGAAGACCGAGCGTCCTCCTTTTCGCTATAGCCGAGCAGTTACAATACCTGTTCCATGCACCATTCATAGTTGACGCGAGTACTACGCTCGTTAAATAACACTGATATGAACTACAACGACGCGGGGAAAGTTACGCGCGCGAGTAGGAAATCGTACATTAAACAACGTGGATGAAAGACGCGCTTCAATGGAATTCGAATGCGAGCGAGAGCGAGACCGGCAATTTCACTCGCAGATTGTTTAGTCCTGAAGAACGAGAGCGATAGAAAATTATGAATAGGAGAAAAAATTTATGAACGAACGAACGGGAAGATAGCTTGAAGTAACGCGCTCTCGTAACAAATGATGTTATAATTAACATAACGAGGCTTTTTATTCTCATTAAATAATTTATATGAGAAGCGTATTGTGTAATAAATAGTACATTCATCTATAATATTTGCGTCCCCGGTAAAGAATCTACTCGTGTATGCATATACCTGTATGCTGGCGAGGCTAGTAAATTGATGCGACGACGTAATAAGGGTGCACGCCTCGACGTCGATCAGCGCTAAAAGCAAGTATCTCCAGCCACGAGCCCTTATGACGGAAATTAGGCCATTCCCTACACCTCGACAGGACATCCACGTCGTATAGACCAAGCACATCATTACGTAGTGCGGAAGATTTTGCCCTGTCTCGCAAAAACGACGATGATCAATTATCGGTCTCGAGTCTCAAGGAGCAAGGACTGATAACGTGGCAATTTCGAGGAGTCCCCTGACTTTTTGATGTTATAAAAATATAAAAACAAATTTTACCCGCGCAAAATGCTTCATATACAATAAGGACACAATGAAATGATGTGAAAATGAGATATTTTTTTCGTGTATAAAAAATAAAATGAAAAAGAAATAAATGTCTCACATATATGTGAGAAATCGAAAATTAAAATCACAGGTTTTAATCTCTAGTGCTGAGACATGATCGGTCCCAAATAAGTTACCTGTTGGAAGCGAGAGTTTGTAGGAGGCGGTGTTCATGTGATGATTTACGAGCGTCATGAAGCATAGCACCAGCGAAAGGAATTGGCCCATTATTATCGCCCTCCATACTGCCCTGTTTCATAACATATTAACGAACAATCGTTATTATTTTATCATGAGAAGATACGAAGGTACACAAGTATGTGCTTTTAATTAAACTGATGTGTATTCGGAAAGATGTAAATATTGTTACAACCGAATATAAATATTTGTGCCAATGTCTCAGTATTTAAATATCGTGTAGTGAAAAATCAATAACGTAATTTCTCCCAATCAATTTTTCAGCAAAACTTTATTCAATTCTCAATCGAATGTCCTGCCGTTACCGTCAGACTATCCTGACAAGTGGTGACATACAGCATTGACCGGAGAAGGATAGCAGCTGACCACGCGACACGGTGGTCCTAACAAGTATACCGGAACAAAAGAATTAACCTTAACTTCACAAAAAAGAAAAAAGTTCACAACAGAAAATTTTGCAGACAGTCGGACAATTTTCTAGTCACCAAAGCAAGGCGCAACCTGCGACAACTAATGTATACGTATGTCAACACAGAGAGAGAGAGAGAGAGAGAGAGAGAGTATCGTACAAATTTCACACAGGCAAAGGGGCATGCGGAACTACACCAACACCAGCGTCCGAATTTCCGGGGAATTATGTCGCGACCATCTCAACTCGTCGTCGATCGTTACCGTGTAGTCTAACATCCTAGAGCTTCCAACTGAGACCGAGTTTCACGTTTAACACCACGATCACACACCGTCACCGTACCGAATCGCGATGAGCTACACGACCGAAGGAAGTTAAACACCCGCTACTATCATGCCCGGGTCGTCCACCCCCTCCCGCCCTCCGACCCCACCGACTCGGCACAGGGCGGAAAACACACAGTGGCTCCTGTGCGGGCGCTTAGGGTTGCTACCCCCGCGGTTACTCACGTACCATCGGGCCAGGTCGGATATGTAATTTTCGATTTTGTCGCAGACCCCATTCCTGGCCTGCATCGCCGGGTTTTGAGCGCCGTGACGATCGCCCGCTGACCCTCCCATGCCATGGTGCATTTTCACCCTGAAGGCTCCTCGCCGGCGAGCGGCTCGGCCGAGGCGCTTGCGCGACCTCCTTCCGCCTTCGGCGCGTAGGGACACGCCGTTTTTACTCTTGTTGCTCCTCTCTCCGGCTTCCCTCGGCTTGGCCGTGCATGCCCGCGACGGGAAGTACGAGATTTCACCACGCGAACGTAAACGCCGACGCGGCGTCGCGACGTCGCGCGGAATCGCCGGAAGGAGCGATCGATCGCGTCGATCGGCACGAGCGAAATGTCACGTATAATTCGGGCGAGTTTGTAAATGAGGTGGTTCTCGCGATTCTTACTGAAAAGCGGAATTCATACGCCTCCGCGATCTTGTTTCAGTTGCATAAAGTGCGTGCGATTCATTCGTGTAAACGAGAAACCGAGGAGAGATGGCGAGACAGTCGAGTAAAGAAGTATGTCTTTATTTATTATCAGGTAGTCCTGTCGTGGAGTTTTTATTTACAATATATTGACATTCTCGGATATACTGTGAGCTCAGTCATAAATAATGTCCAAAAAGTTCGCATTTTCTCGGTAGCGGTAGAGATTTGCACATTATATAAATCTTTAAGTACATATTCAACTTACTCTTATACTCTATGTCATATATCTCAAACGTCACCGCGCTGCGGCGTAGCGCAGAAATTATGCACAAGTACGATCACCCGACGTATGAAAAGAAGGTAATTGTAACACTATGAATATGTAAATTTGTGCAGTCGGTTCCGCCGATTCCATCGATTCAACAACGTATCGTCGGCCGAAGGAAGCTTCTCTCGGGTTCTACCTTCGTCTACCTTCGATCGGTCGACGCCGGTCTAAGGAGCAAATCCCCGATCTCGGTGGTAACCTTTCGGAGCAATCCTTACAAAGTTGGAAAAATATGTTCAATTTCACTAGTTTTTTCCGGGCGCGCACTCGCGTTCGCGCTCGAATTTCGAGCCAGGCGCGAATTTCTCCGTGTCTGAACACCTTCGCTACGCGCAGTACCTAATTAACGCACTAACACTCACGCACGCCGGAGAGACTCGGTCTACTTAATTAATCGGAATAACGATAAACTGTCAAATGGAAAACGGAGACACAAGTTTACGAAGTAAAATTTCCCTTCGTCGTATTACATGTGAGGTAAAATGTAGAGTTCTCATTAAAATTTGATTCTGAACGGACTTCGCCGACCTTCGCACTGCCGTCCGATGAGCAAAAATTGACGCTAAGGATTATCGAAGACGCTGCTCGAGGAGGCGAGTCCCCTTCGTCAAGTAAGATCGCTTGGTCTAACGATTGGTCGCCTTAATTAAAGAATTAGGATCAATTTCATTATTTCTTCTTGCCCTCCTCCTCCACCGTCTCGTTCTGCTTGCGGAAGCAATCGCCCACCGGGAAGAAGTCCCAACATCTTTGCTGATACATATTCCACACATAGGTCTCCTGACCGGTGTACTCGGTGTCTGGTTTGTTAATCAGGTGCATTAGGAAGAACCTATTGATCAACATCGTCAGTTTTACAGCCACTTGTAACTCACGAGAAGGAAAACGCTATTCGTCCCAAGTCTCGAACGCGCGTGTTCGCAACTTCAAAAATTCAAGTCGGTATTTTGAAAAGTGATATCGTGAAGTTATTTTACGATTGTCTTTCTCCGACAAGTCATTCCAAAATTCAAGCTGTTATGTTAGAAACTCGTCGATACTTACATGTAATTCGCTAGATTATGCTCCTGTTGGACGTGAGTATCGAATCCGTGTGGCACCGCGTCGAAATATTCCTTCCCTAAGCCGCATATGAAGCAGTTACTCTCCATATTCGTCTTCACGTTGTCGAGCTGGTCTCGAAGCTCACCGAACGCGTCGATGATCAAACCTGAGGACCAGTCGTCATGTTACATCGTAACTTTCTTCCCGCCGCAGATCCCAGACGCAATCTGTTTCAAGTGTGCTCACCTTGAATTATAGCTAACAGAATGATGATTACGAAGAAGAAGAACGTGATGTCGAACATTATACGGTAAACCTCGTAGTCGTCGCCATCAGGCTCGCCGATCTCGTCACCTATGCCTCCGCCGGCCCTTACGCCTTTGTATAGATGGAAAACGAAACACTGTCGAGAAATAAAAAGAAACTTGTGAATTAGAGACACCTGATTCTAGTGTGAAATGAATACATAAATGAAGAGATAATTATATTACAATTAATGTTTCTTTCAACTACCAAAGACGAAATTGTTTGATCTTTGTGATATGAATATATCACAATATGCAAAAGTGACATAGCATACCGTTAACATATGATGGCACTTTTTGTCCGTTTCATCCTCTTCCTGTATATAGAACTTTCTGAAGAAGTTGAAGGCTATCACCGTGTAAATGTATACCACGATCGTCAGCAGCATCACCGTCAAGACCAGCTGCTTGCCGTTGTGCGTTACCGACTGCAAGATCGTCCTCAAAGTTTTGAAACCGACCGCGACGTCCAACAAATGAGCGGCGAAGAAGAAGTTGTTATAATTGCCGAGGATCGAAAACGTGAAGTACCACAGACTGTATAAAAATGCCTGGAAACGAGTGAAATACGCTTATGTATGTGTGTGCATAAATATTTAACCAATTAAACACAATATGCGCGCGCGCGTACGTTAATTAATCTCATAAAATTCACTTGAGAGAGAGAGAGAGAGAGAGAGAGAAACTCACGTTATCTGTGATGGTGACACCGGCCTTCCAGATTTGGTATCTCCAGTCGATATTTACAATGCTGCGGGGGAAACACTCGAGTTAAAATCTTCTCAAGAAGGTACAAGATACTACGAAGTATTTACTTACAAATGAATCAAGCCGGATCCTTCCTCCTCCTGTTGACTAAAGGAAGTCTTCTCCATTCCGAGCAGGTTGCTGATGTAATCGAAATCGTACGTCTCGCTGTACTTCTGTCGGACCTTCTTCTTGACGAACTTATCCCAGTAATTCACGGGGAAAGTCTTGGCCGATATCACCATTTTGTCCCAATGAGTCTTAAAGTCGTCTTCCTCCGGCGTTTCGGCTATGTACAATCCGTCGAATTCTACTCGTCGCGCAATTTCCTTCTCTCGTTTGAAAATAGCCAGTGGTACCTGGAAAAAGCAAATATATGTCGCACGTTCACAAATCACGACGATCGTTTCTACAGTATTATCGAAATGCCGTTTATAAGCTAAAAAGAAACGTTATCAGAGAAGATATTTCAACGTAAGACATTTCGTCTTATTTGTCAGAAAATAATAGTTTACTTCAAAACATTCATGTTAATAGTTGCAATTCAAATACCTTCAGATGATAATATGCAACCAACATAGCGAGCGAAACGATAGAATGAAGAGCAGCCAGCAGCCTCATAACGTGAGCCATGTAATAATAATCCTCCGCCATCTCCACAATTTCCGGCACGTCCTCGTCGTCCTCCTCCGAACCATTTTCACCGCTACCGCTGCCCAATTCCACCCCGCTACCTCCCGAACCCGATGGACCCTCGCCCGACATTTCCGCCAGCAAATCCGCCATAGATCCACTGCCTTCTTCGTCAGAATCGCCAACCAAAGAAGTAACCTGAATTAATAATTAATAATCAGTAATAATTAACATGCGCGTTAATTCTTAAACTTATTACTTCCTTTCAACATATGAAAGTATAAATTTATGAATTTTTAATATCAAACTTTAATACTTTGCAGCTTAGGTTTTTAGATAAAATACAACGTATGTGAATTGTCGCATAGCTTTCGCAAACCTTATAGAAGAGCAGCATGAAATTGATACAGAAGGCGAGAATCAACGCGACGTATTTCAGATTGTAGAAATTCCTGGCCAGGAAGGACACCACGCGATGACTGTACTCAGATAGATCGATACTTGATCCTGACGAGGGTTCAGCGATAATTTCTTGTTTCGCCTCGGCCTCGACCGCTGCCATAGCCGCCTGTTGAGCTGCTGCTGCTTCGGCCGCTGCGGCAGCTTGAGCTCTGGCTTGTTCTCCGCTATAAAAATATCATAAATAATAATTCATTTGACGAAAAAAAATAATTACACAAACAGATAGTTGGATCAATTCGTTTTAATCACTTAAATTCAGTTCACATTAATATATATCAAGTTAATTGTGATGTGTAAAGCGAACACACATTTGTTAAATATTTACCCAAGCAAGTCGGCTAAAGTGACAGGTGCTTCGCTCTCTCCTCCCTCAGCTCGCGCCCCCTCTTCTCCGGTACCTTCGTCCGGAGTGCTCTCACCTGTTTCTTCGATGCTGGATTGCGGTGTAGAAGTGGTCGACTCGTGTGGTGCTAATTTTATCTGCCCTCCTTCTTCCTTCGTTATATCCATTCCGAATGCCTGCACCTGTGTGTATTTATAAGATAATATATTTTTTTTTAATATTGCATATATATATATATATATATATATATTGATGTAGAATGTACATTAAGAGAATCTTACCTGTAAATTCGATTCATCCGGCGTCGGTGGCAAAGCGGGCAAGTGTCTCGATGGTTTCTCTTCCTCCTCCTTGACAACAACAGGCTCGTCCAGATGTGGTCCTCTCATCAGCGTTAACAAAAGTCTCATGAAATATTTTATAACAAGACCAACGCCAAAACCGGAATAATAAAACGCGTAGAAGATCATCTTGAAGAAACCAATGAAGAGCTCGGGAATTGTCATCTGCTGCATCTCGGCGATCTTGTTCTTGATATTAGTCGGCGAGAACAAGTAGAAGAAGTAGTAAACACCGTCCTTGAAGGCCTGTATACCTCGCCTGATCGGGTCCTTGTTCCTCTCTTCGTCGTCGTCGGTCATGTAAGTATACGAGGACTCCCTGGCCTTGCCGATTCCGCCGCTCTCTTCGACGGTCATCAAAGCGCTCGCGTGTTGCATCTCAAAGATGGCGTCCTCGCAGAAGTTGATGAAGGTCTCGAGCTTCTCTTTCTCACCGGCCTCGACCACCGTGTTGTAGAAGTAGGTTTTCTTCGACTCCTTGATCTGCGGTTTCTCCCACTGCTCGATGTTCGACTCCTTGATCTCGAAGTACACTCGCTCGATCTTCTTGTTGCCGCCAAGGATTTCGATCCTGCCCAGGAACGGCTCGAAGTAATTGAGAACGGAGCCGGCTGTTTCGAGGAACCTAGCTAATTTCGGCTCGTTCGGCATGTGTTCGGAGAGATTGGTGAGCAGTACAGCTAAATTGAAACCGATCTCCTTCGCCGGCTCGTGGAAGCGATCCATGAAAGCGACGTAGTCGATTTTGCCGTCGTGATTCGTCTCGCAACAGGCCAGAAGGAATTCGATCTCCTCGCTGGAAAATTAATTTCTGCGTATTATCCGGCAGCAAACGTGAAGGAAGAATTGATAACATTCGAATAATAATCGAGCGTACTCGGTGTAACTCTTCTGCTGCTCCATCTTCTCCTTGAAATCCTTAGGATACACCCAACCGTCATTGTTAAGATCGACTTCCAGGAAACTCGGCGATGACACGAGATCCTTCAGCTTCAAGAACATGTCGAAGTACTTCAAGATCAGCTCCACGTTGCCAGCCGACTCGACCAGAGTGTCCACCATCTGCTTTCCGATAGTCCCGTTTACGACGTTACCTTCAATTCGAAAATACGTTAAACATCTGCTGTTAGTTGTTTTGTAAATAAAATCTAAAACGGAGGCGCCTACCTTCAAGCATAGAAAGCATCATAGTAATCATATCCTTCTGCAAATTCAACAATTCCTTCAGAAGGTCCACCTGACTCGAGTGCTTCGACAGTTTGTCCTGCATATGCGAGAATAAGAAGAGGAAACCGCCGACCGCGTCCCACAATCTCGAGTGCGCCAGAGCCTGTTGATTCTGCGCGCACGGACCTTGGATGACTTCAGTGAGGGTGTTGAACACTTGGCTGGCAACACCGATGGCCTTGAAAAAGTTCGCTTTACCGGCTGGATCAATGAGCTCCTTGCTCGAGTAATGCCAGTAGAAGTCCATGATGGACTCCTGAAGTCGCAGCAGATAATCGACGGTGCAAATGACCACGTTCACCGTCGTCGTGTTACCAGCCTGTGTCCTCAAGTAATTCTGCCAGTCTATCGAGAAGGAGATACAATTGTAAACGACATTTGGTCGAGTTCGCTTTTCGACGGTGACAAAGCTCACCACTCACCGAGATTGTGACCCTCGCAGGTGAGTTGGATGAAGCGGAACAGGGCGCATGTGAATTCAGCGTCGTGCATATTCTTCTCGCCGGCCGCGCCCTCGGAGCCAACACCGAGACCCTCGGCCTTCGTGTTCCTCTCGAAGGCGTCCAAATCCAACACGCTGCACGAGTTCATCAGGCCTGCGATGGACGTGAAGAAACCGACGTCTTTCTTCTCCTTCAAATGGTTCAGCATACCCTTCTGAATCTCGATATTGCCACCACGCAGGATCGAAATGCCGAGCTCCAGAGTTTTCATCACCATCTCGCTGGGGACACCCTTGCAGGCCGATATGTGCAGGAGGACCATCTCCGCGACACCGCGATTCGCCAGACGAGCTTGGTGGAACAGAAGCTTCTGCTTTTCCATTTCTTGCTCCTGTATAAGGAGGACAATAACATGCCATGATAAAAATCGAAGAGTAAGAGAGTGTATATATTTTATAAACTCACATATTACAAAAAATATTGATAAATAAAGCATATAATTTATGATTATCATTTTATAGACTTTTCATGGTTGATTTAAAATTATAGCTTTATTAATAATGCGTATAAATATAGTATAACGTGCTGGAGTCTTACCATTAATTTATGCATGGGCCTCTTGAGAGTTACGTTAAAACAGAGAATAGGCGATTTAATAATATTGTTAGTAATGGATCGAGCGAGGAGAACACAAGATTGCAACAGCCTACAATGTTTCGCTTGCTCATGACTTATATATCACTTGACGTCAATGAAGAAAATAACGCACAACTTTGACAAATTCGGGTGACGAAAAGTGGAGGACACATATGATTGACACTTTAGACTGCGAGCATACATTAAGCGGATGGAATCTCGCACTAACTACTTATTCTTACCATAAGTAGCTTATGCGCCGGCTTCTAGGCGAATTAGTAAGTTAGAAAAAGATAGGGAATTTGTTAATAAATAGATTCTGGACAGCTGGTCGGAGGATTTTCCTTATTATTTTATGAAATAAATAACCAAAGGATAATTAAACAAACCCAACGTAAAAATATCATATGAAATTGAGTAATAAACCTTCCTTCAACGAAATACGCAAGTGTACATTTTTATTTGCTTAACTATCTATCTATAAGTTATTAGTAATCATATATGTATACTAAGTTAATTATTATATTAAATATTACCCTTCAGATTATTAGTTGGAGGGAAATAAAAATTTGGATATATCAATCGGAGATATTTACATGGATCGAAGCTCCACCCTCTTCCTCGCCTCCACCCTCTTCTTCGCCTTCCTCCTCCTCTTCGCCGCAAGATTTGGAGATAATCTGCGCGTAATTCATGTAAAGCGGGTCTTCCTGAAGAGCGCCCGATCGTTCGGTCATGGCACCCCGGCAGAAAGTCGTGACCAACTGTGTCAATGGATCGGGCTTGCTTTCATCTTCGTCCTTGTCCATCTTCTTCAATTCGGCATCCTCGAACGATTGCTGAGCAAATGTAAATTATTATTAATTTATTCAACAATCGATACATCGTCGAAAGTATCGAGCAAGAAGAAGCACAATTACCGTGAGGTCCTCGATCATGACTTCTTGGCCCACGTTTTCGTCCTGTAACCACAGCTCGTAATACGTCCGCGCAAATATATTTATCGCTCGATGCCTGTGAGAGAACAGAATCGTAAATTAACCCCGTTGCAGTCGCGAGGAAGTCCTCTTTATACACAGTGGAAATTAATTCGCGTTAGTATTCGTACCTTCTCAACTTATACAGAGGTTCACTACGCAAACATGCAATCGCTGCTCTTTTTCTGGCAGCGCACAGCACACGTTTCCATCCATCTCGCGATGGTGGTGGCTTTGTCGCCTGTTAGCCGCGTGCACACAAACCACAAGCACACTCGTTAAATAAAATTGTTCAACGGTTATTCTCGTTAATAAATTGCAAATCGTACATTATCGAGCACTGAGAATTTCTCAACTCTCATCGTCTGCCTGTTTTCTCTTAAACAAACAGCAAGATGTCTAATTAATTCTACGTAAATCAATCGCACGTGAAGATGATGCGAATGACGCGAAGAAAAAAAAAGACCGATAACGCAATGACGTCACAAGTGAAGAAGTTAATGATTAACCGAAGCAACGGCAACCGAATAACAAGAAGGATACCTGGGCAAGGAATGTAGGGAAGTTTGACGGAAGCAAGCGATTACCGCTCGTTTACGTTGAATCGACACCACCGATCGGTATTGACTTCTGCTCTGCTGTTGCGGATGATCTATCTACTCGAGAACATAAAAGCGTGAAATAAATATGAAATAAGGACGTCAGCTCGATTGTTCAAAGAAGAAGAGAAACGATGACGATTCCTAGGAGACATACAATGATACTTTCCGCAATAACATAAACGTGATGAAACATTAATTTCAAGCGAGGTAAAAAGAGAACGGCGCAACCGCATGGAAACTATTTTTCCGAATAATTTGAATATCTAATTGACAATTCCAAGAACTACTTACAACATACAACGTTACACGAATCTGGAACTCACCATGTGTAAGCCGTACAACACTTTGGCCATGTCGGTGATTCTGGCGACGACATCCTCCAGCTGTTGAGCCTTGACAGCCTCCATCGCGTCCTTCTTCTGGCCCAATTTAGAGTATAGATAATGCTGCCAGGACATTTCATCGGCGGGGTCGATTTTGTCGGGCAACGTCAGCTGGGTCTTGGCGAATTCCGCGATCTCGTACTCCGGCATCTTCTTCAGGAACCTGTCCTTGCAATGCTGCACCAATTCCTGTTCGCGACCGGCGAAGAGATTCAAGCCGACGGGCAGCAATCGTTTCAGGCAGGCGACCATAAGGGACGCTTGCACTTCCTTATCCTTGTCTCTTTTCTTGTCACGGTGCTTCTTCTTTTTCTGGAAGCCGAGGATACGTTTGAACCTTTTCCTTTTTCTCAAGTAGCGATCCTCTTTTACGGAAAGATTAAAATTTATCCGTCTAAATTAATAAATTCGATAAATGCGTAATTATTGATGAAGATTAAGTTATTTCCTTTTTCTTATTTTTGTATTCTCATTATTATTATTGTAGTTAAAGTCTTTTCCTTGGCAATTTTTGTACTTAGCTTATATCAAAGGGACGATTCCCGTATAAATAAATAAATAAGTAAATATAAGTGATTCAATAACTTATACATACCTTTCCTCCTCCCGAAGGCGCGGTGCCATCGGACACTGCCGTGGGTCTTCTGGTTGCAGTCGGCATGATGAGCACCATGTTGTCGATCTCGTTCGCGGATATGAAGTTCTGTTCCTCGCGCAAGAAGTACTGTGACTTAGACCAGATGTTGAATATAGCCGCCACATGATTGTACAGATCCTCAGCTTCGGGAATATTGTTCCTCAGCCAGTGATTCCTCTGTAGATCGACATATTTTATCAGCAGCGGATAGAACGAGTAGATATCGCGAACCAATAACTGCCAATCCTCCTGTATTTGCGCCTCAACTTGCGAAGTATCGTCGGTCGAGGACTTGATGAAGCCTCGAAGGGATTCCTCCTTGTGGAACATGGTGTCCGTTCGTTTCCTCACGCGTTCCGCCAGAGGCAAGAACGGATCTTTCAACAGCTCTTCCGACGAATTAATAATGATTTGTTGGGTGTAGGCAGCGATACGCGTCATCCACGGTGCGTTCTCGTTGCCGATGTTCTTCTTAATCAATTTCAGCACGTTCTTCAGCAACTGATTCATATGATCGCTGGTGACCATGCTGACGTAGGTGCCTTCGGTCGGGTTCACGTTGTCGGGCCCCTGCGCCCACCAGAAGGGCAGGTACGAGCAGAGCAGCGGAAGGATCACGTCGACGACGTGAGGAGCGTCGTTGTAAGTCTTCTCGGACTCGACGAACTGATCGACTTCGTTGAGGATGGTCTCCAAAGTCGGCATACTCGACTCCATCTTCGTCATGATATCCTGAGCTTCCAACGAATGGTCCGCGATTCGATTAAGGAGGGAAAATTGATTGTGCTTATTCAAGTGCGGCTCCAAAAAAGCCACCGGGAAGCAGCTCGAGAAGGCTCCCAAGCAAGAGCCCAAGTTAGGTTTATGCCGCTCGATCTCTGTTTTCAGGTACTTCCGGTCGTGGGTTAAACTAGCGTCCACTCCGAGAGTGTACAGAGACGCCAGCATCTTGTACGATGCTACTTGAATCTCGTCAACTGTCAAACAGAGAGAGTAATCGATTCAATCAGATATACGATCGATTCTTCTTTCGCACCCTTAAAAAAAAAACATATCTTGATATTCAAGTTTAATGAAGTAAAATAATAATTATGGGAAGAAAATAGAGAAGATTGAGAGGGGGAAGTTGAAATAAATAAATAAATCGACACAACGCGCGTAGACATTTTTCCGATCCACTTAACTTAATTAATTAAATAGTTCTATCAACTCTATTAATATCAATACGTCGAATACTCACGTAGCAAGTCACTGCCGTACTCGCACGCGGCGAGGTGATCGAACATCGCGGTCAGCACCGGTAGAACGACGCTGTTGATGTACGACAACGACGTGGAGGTCTTCAAGTGGGTGCCTCTGAGGTGACTGTACTTTCCTTCTTGAAGATTCAAGATCGTATGCCCCAGATCGTCGGCAGTGTTGTTGAAGAAAGTCAACATGGACGTCCTGATGAACTCCGGGCAATTCTTCACGAGACTCTTAGCGTCGATGCCCTTCACGAGTACTTGCAGACAACGCACCGTTATCCTCACGTCCGCGCCGAAGGCGGCGAGCCTCGATCGCAGCAAACTCGCCAGCTTGCAGAACAACGCGGCCACCATCTCCTTCTCCTTCAAGGACGCAGCGCCTACGTTGTTCGTGGCGGTGGCAACGGCGATGAAGTAATTTCTGTGCGTGCTGAAGTACTTCTCCATCAGCGGCAGCACCACCTTGCTGAAGAACTTGATGTCCCTGGTAGAGGTCTTGAAGCTGTTCCTACGGCTGAACGTGTCGGAGGGCTTCAGGAGTTTCATGTTGATCGTCGCTTTGTCCAGATAGGCTATCAGCTTCTCCAACAGCGAATAAGCGAATCTTAGCTCCACCGCGGCGACCGCACCGGCCACTTCGGTCTCGGTACCGCCGCGATTAGGCTTGTGAAGCTTGTAGCCCTGATACTGCAGGTACTTGAGGAACTCCTGCGACCGCTCGCGATCCTTCCGCTTCTCTTTGTCGGTCAGCAGGTCGTAGGGCACCAGCTGAGGATGAATGCCGCCTCCTATGGAGTACAAATCGTAAATTACATCAGAAACTTATTCAGTGCGCTACATTTTTTAATTCAAACAAGAATCGGAGAATAAAGAGGTCGAAAGCAGAATGCGAGTGATTGCTTGCAATATTTTTATATAATTTGTACTGTGGACGAGGAATATGCTAAGAGTCAATTTACACTAACCGCAAGTAATGAGTTCCTCTTTCTTCTTCTTGGCCCAGATATCGTGAGCATTGTCGGCCAATCGCTCGGCCATATTCTGCATTTCTCTACTCAGCGTCAAATTCGTCATGTCCACCGGGTGGGGGTTGTAATTAAACGGATTTGCCGAGTCGCCCTGTACAGTCAAAGATACATGCCAACACTCGCCTATCTCTCGCAGGTATACAATACATTTTTGGACGAACTCTTACTTGACTCTTGGAAGACCTCCTCATGGAACTACGATTGGTCGATGGTACATCGACCTCCGCGTGTTCCACGCTCCAACCGATCGCCAACAGAGCCTTCAAGCTCTCTCTAACAGGCTCTTTGTACCGTTCTCGCTCGTAATCGGTCAGCATGTTGTACGGTTTTAATCGCGGATGGGTCTTGTTCACGTCCGACCACTGCTCGCCGTAGGTCCAACCGTTCTCCAGCTTCCGGCTGGCCCAGGCGTCGTGATAATGCTCCGAGAACTTTTGTACTATTTGATTAAGATCGTTGTTCAGCACCACGCTGGAATGAAATGACGACAAAGCGTGAAATCGTAGCGGCTCTTGCAGATTTTACAATTGCCAAGCTAACTCTCGTTATTTCTAAACAATGTAAACGTGGAAAGGATATAATGAAAAATTAACAGTCGCTAACCTAGAGGTGTTGATTGGCTGTGGATTATAAGGCCCGTCGGGTGATTGGGTCGAGGCCGACTTGCTGCCGTACCACTCGTCATCGTAATTCTTCGACAGGGAATAATCCGGCGGTAAAGCGCAACCGATAGCCGTCAGACAAGGCAACGCTTTTCCGAACAGTTCCGGATCGTAGTCCATCTTGGACAAAGAATCGAATATATTGCTAAAGAGGACCATCGTGAGGCGTTTCTCCTCATCGCTTGACGCTCCGTACGAGCCTTGGCCTGTAGAGCCAGTGGAGCCGTAATACTTTGCGCAACGATCGTAATGTAGCGTTAGCAGCTGAAAACATAACGAAGAAAATGATAAATGATAAATAATAAACGTGATAAAATATGTGACGGTCAAATCAGTGGCAATAATGAGAAAGCAGCGAGTAAAAAATCGTAGAAAGAAAAAAAATTATTGTGATAATTAAAATATCTTTTTATCGCAATTATATTAATGATTAATACACAGAATAAAAGAATGAGATGAAAAATAATTCGCCAAGAAATGGAGCGGTTAACGTACTCTGAGAGCTACGGTAGTATATTCCGACAATTTCGACACGTCAACGGTCAACTTCCGCAGCAACTTCAGCAACATGCTCGGCTGCATCTGGCTGTAAGTAAAATTAAAAATTCATTCTTCGAATCAAACTTACAAGAATGAATAACGGAAGGCATATTGAATAAAAGGAGAAAAGCGGTCACTTTTAATCGTCACTTGCCTGGTCAATGCCACGAGGAAATCTGAAACAGCCTCTCGCTGTCCTTTCGTCAGCATTCGGTTTTTGCTCAGCCGATAGACCGTGTGCAATGTGGCGTCGAGTAAACTTGCGTAGTTGTCCGCTTCGTTGTAAAATTTCGAATGCTTGATCAGCAACGGCAGAATGCTGTTTCCTATGTAGCGGTTCATAGCGAGCGCCATGTCGGATTCGTAACCGTCGTTCTGCAAGGAATTAAATCAGAACGTATGAGAAAAAATTGAAACAAGTTGAGTGTTTTGTGCCTGTCTAATCTTCACTTAAATTATTTCAATGTTCACGATTAAAAATTTGCATTTTGATCATTTTCAAGTAATATAAGTGAATGAATAATTATATGAGACAAAATAACAATGAATAAGTATATCGCACAAAGTAGATAAGACATGACGCGATTCTTACTCTATCGAGCATCGTGGCGGCGCGTAGATCTGGCAGGAAGGCTTCTTCCAATATCTTGTAGAACAATTCCTGCGTTTCGATACCGTATACGCGCTCAAGGAACAGCACGATGCTTTGCTTGTGTCCCGGTATCAAGCCGGACGGCATATCGCTTTTCGGTCGTTCCTCGCCAGCGGCAGGGTTCAGCAGGGTGAATCGCAAGGACAACACGCCCTGAAGATCATCCAGAGGCACCAACGATCTCAAGATCGCCCGAGCTCGAAGAGATTCGTTCTTCCCTGAAATGATTGTGCGGCTTCAAGCAAACGAGCGTCGTCTCAATAACATTTTACCAGAGCAAAATTTCATTACGTATATTACCAACAGACTTTGTAGAGGCCTCTGTTGCCCATTAAGAAAGCAAAAATAAACGCTTTTATTAGATAATTTACTGCGTTTTGCGTGATTGAAATTGTCACGCACGATGAAATTGTTACGCAACGTTACGTCGCGGAAAGTGCACGTGAGGTATGATTTGATTCACGAAAGTTGATACTGATAATTACGAGACCAAATTTATGCAACACTTTTATTTTGTCATCTGCGATGATTGCCCAATAAAGATTTTTAAAAAATTTACCTATATTCTTATTATATCTAGTGAAAATTATTTTTTTATTTATTGAAATTTAAATTATATTTTCGTACAAATTAAATAAGAACAATATAAATCATGAATATCAATGAAGATGAAGATGTCGAGAGTTCATTGAATTATCTGCTTACCTTGCTCTATGACAGAAGAATCCGGAGCACAGCGACCTAATAGATCAACAAGGGTGCAGTAAAAATTCAGGATCGCTGCACCTGTGTCGATGTAGTCCTCGTCGTCGTCTGATTCGGGAAGCGGATGCTCAAATTGTATTACCATAGTCGTGCCTTCGGGCTCGTCGTGCACCTGTGCGAAATACTAAGTTGATATCGTATTAATGAAAGTTCGTGCACATGCATAACAATAGTTTATGAAAAAAAGATTGTAACGCGACACAGTTGCATAGTCATATTTTATGCTTCTCGTATTTACGTAACTAAACGCATTTTCCAAAACTCGATCGTGTCAATCACGAATTCTGAGGATATTAAGTGGAAATAAATCTCAAAAGGATTGTTTCAAAACATTGTTAAAATGCAACGGGGATATCAAATCATACCTTATATAAAGACTAGAAAGGAGAAAAGGGCCAAATAAATTGTTGAAATAAAGTCTAATTGAATTTAAATGGAGTATAATTGGAAATGAGAAGGTAGAAAGTTACTTGATGAGAGCGTATAAGATTTAAGTTCATGACTTTCTGGGTATACACAGAATCGATACACGACACGTGGATTCTATTTTAAGCGGCAATCGAAAGAAAGCTGCTTTTTACTTACGAAACAGTTTGAGCTTTATTTCTAATTTTTCAATCGAGTAGACAAAGAAGTATCGATGTCAGTATCAGCATGACTTACTTTTCTTCTATCGGCAATGCGCTCGGACATCTTGTTGGCCTCCATAATGGCTCTCAACAGACCTTCACCTTCACCTCGGAGAGCGGGACCCAAACATTCCGGTCTTCTGATTAGCAAACGGATCACCAGGTTGGCATTCTCCTCCACGCTTTCACCTGATATTATTAATTAAACAGACAAGAGCAGCATTTAATGCTATCACTTTCGAGGTAAAAAGAATTATACGTTTAAAGATAAACGATAAAGGTGACAAAATGTTTTACCATTGACCCACACGCAGAACCTCAAGAAATCCAGATAACGTTCACCCTCGACAGGATCCCAGCCCAAGTCAGGATAGCCTTTCTCCACTAGTTCCGAGTTCGACTGCAGACCGCAACGTGACAAATAAATCGCGATTTTCTCCAGATAATGTTCTCTCAAGGCCAATGCTAACTCGGTGTTCTCCATCAGTGAAGAGTAAGCCACGTCCAACGGCGTTGATCCTCGCAGCGAGGGTCTGGCCAGCAGGATGTTGCTGTTCTCCAGCAAAAAGTCGAAGTGATCGAACATGGCCTTCTGATTCTGCCTGGACGTACGACAGAAGTAACACAGGAATCTGCAGCACGCTACGACCATCTCGTGGGACGTGTCCTTCTCCTTCGAAGCTGGCTCGCCCTCGGCCGCTTGGGCCTGAGTCTGAGCGTCGGACTGCGCCTGAGCGCGCCTTCCCAAGGTGTTCATCATGATGGCCATCACGTTCTCGTGAATTCTCAGCACTCGAATGAGATCGGGATGCTGGAAGAAGGTGTGATTGTTCACTAACTTCCACAATCTTTCGCGGACCAGCTCCTCCTCCTCCTGGGACATCTGCACCGGCAGCAAAGCGCGAATCTGGCTGAGGCCGACCCACATCAGCGCGACGTCGTCCTTGGTTTTATTGTTGACGACGTAGGTCTTCTCCAGTGCCCGGATCAGCTCGCCCACGGTGTCATATTGCCTAACTAGCAAGCTGAACATCTCTCGCACGAGTTTCGGCGTCTCGATTTGCGACTCCTCGGCCCACTTTACGATAGTCGCTATTAGCACCTTGCGGAACACCTCTGTGAGGAGCAGGTCAAGCACAAATTTGATTATTTATTCATACATACAGATATATACATATATATATATATATAAACTTATTTATTAAATTTAGATGGTACTAGGCAAATCAAGGGACTCACCTTCGGGAGTCTTTTTCTCGGGCTCGGGTTCGGGTTTAGCTTCCTCTTCAAGCTCTTTGACCGCGTTAATGAAATTGAAGAGGCGTTTCATGGCTCCCGGTTTCTGAATCTCTTCGATTGGTTCGTTGGCGGCATCAGCCGCCTCCTGAAGAGCGTGCAGAGACACGTAGGACATCAGATCGTTGTGGAACTCGTTCATCTTCACTATCAGGTCCTCGCCGCAGGGAATGTTCTCCGGATCTTCGTCGGCATCTAAGTTCTTGAAGCTCAAGATGGCATTCATCTGTTCGCGCGGAGGACAACGAAATTCTCGAGTTTTCTTGGCGGCAACGGCCGACGGTAAATCCGACTGTTTAATCTCGATGTAACGTCGCAATTGATCGGTTTGCAAATCCCCGACGAAGTCGTGACTGAAGGAGATGATAGACTCGACGCGATGGCGCAGCTGGATGTCGTTCAGATGATGCAGCAAGTAGCACATTTGCAATTTAGCGCCTTCGGCCATTTTCATGTGCAGCAAGCCTTTCTTATGCTCGTCTTTTCCTTCTGTAATGTTAGTTCACTTAGTAATTTTAGTTTACAATTTTAAATCAACTTACGTCTATCCGTTGCATATTAACATTGATTAACAAACGTTTGTCGATGAAAAAAATTTTATTAAATTAAAATGTAACGCTATGTTATTAAATTAAAATGTAACGCTATGTTCTTAAACCTTTGTCGAAAGTTGGATCCCAAGTTTCAGGGTTTATCATGATAAGCAGCTTGAATACATCCTCGTTCCTCAGCATACCCACTAAGAGCAATCTATCTACCAGTTTCAAAAGAGGTCTGTAATATACGAGAAACATATAAAGAAGTCTTTGATCAAGCGTAAGACTGTAAGCGATAAGCAGAAAGTCGGAAATTCCTGTTTAGAAAAGAAAAAATAGATTGAAAATTTTGCATGTCTTGTTTTCCGTATTAATTTCCAAATAAAAGCGATGATAATCGTCGATTCGGTAGCATTGACGAAGAACGTTAGTCGCAGCAGCGGCAGCGGCAGCAGCAACAGCAGCAGCCATACTTATTGTTTTACATACAAGAAGAGATTCTCGTTGCTGCCTCCGATCGGATCTCGATTGTGCACTTGATTCACTTCGACGGCTTCGTTGAGCGCCATCATCACGTAATCCCGCACGATGTCGAGCGGGAAGTGCGGGCTGTATAGATTGCGTATGTTCTCAATCGCCTGGTCACTGGAAGGAACATCCCTTGATGGCGACCGATTAGTAGAGGTCTCACATCTACTTTGGGCAAAAGTTTCACTTACCTGATTTCCGTCATCTTCATTTGCGGTCTGATCGACTCGGTCTCTAAATATCTGAGACTGTGCCTCATCTCAGGATTCTCGTACAATTCCTTCAGTTCTTGACCTGCAAATTATAACATAAGCAAATTATATAGAATAATAATAATAAATTATATAATCATAATATAAGCGAATTATAACATGATAAAATATTGGAAAATATCTCCAATATAAATAGTCATGAGACTATTTCAATAAAGGTAAAAATAATTTACTTAGACACTTGAAATCGATAATTCGAAATGACATGGTTCTTAAAGAAATAAATAAGAATTCGAAATCAAAAGGACACCTCAAAAATTAATCTTGAAATATTGTGTATTGTAACAAAATGCAATTTAATTAAATGTAATTCCGAGAAATTCTTCGATTGTTTCTTCCAGTTTTGTACAAGTACTCACCAAGCGGTATTATATATTCGTTCTTGCACACTTCCATCGTAGTCGCATGTGATTCGAGGTGCAGAGCGATAAGTAAGTCGTAAAATCCTTGTCGCAGTGGTCCGGACATATATTCGGCTCGTATCGCGTATAACAACTGTTTCTGATCGACGTGTTGGCACAAAGCGTGCGCCGCTCGATAATTCGACTGATAGCACAGGGCTGCGTATAACGTTAGCGTGTGTGCGTGGAAACTACGAAAGAATAAATTATTTCATTAGTACACAAAATTGATCAAATTTAGAAAATTGACAAAAGAGAAAGGGAAAAAGTAAACATTTTTTCAAAGGAAAATTCACTTTAAGTTAGTTAAAACGTTAAAAAACGAAACAAAGCGTGAAATATTTAAAGCAGTGTGTACAACGTTCATTAAAAATTTCCCAATGATATCTTCTGAATGAAAAAAAAAATTATTAAATTTTCTGCTGTTAATTTCTCGTGAATTTCTCACCTGAGTAATTTGTCCATTTCAATGAGCTCCAGAATATCGATGCACCTGTCTTCCTCGGGTATATGAAGTGCCAACATAGAGATAGCATCCTCGCACAACATCGACCAACCTCTGATGTCGGACAGTTTCAAAGCGTGCACTTGAAGGGACTGATTGGGTACTCTCGCCCATTGGTGCGGTTTCAGGCATTGCACCTTCAATCTGGGCGGAAATTGGGGTATTACGTGTCGTTCGGAATTCTGCAGGACGGCGGCCGAAAGCGGGAGCGTCGTCGAGGTTCTGCCGAGCTCGATCTGCAGGATCTCCTTGCTGGTGGCCTCGACGAAGATCGCCGGAAACAGTTTTGTGTCCGGTTCCATCTTAAATTTGTGGCTCGTTTCCTTCCCTTCACAAGTGAAGGATACCCAACCTGTCGCGGTATCGACGAAGCATCCGACAAACATACCCTGAGACGCACCCTTGCCCGACGCGTCCTGAGTGACTTCGTTGTAAAGTTCGTCCGCTCGGACCATGTAGCAGCTTTGTCTATCGACTCTACAATGTTACATAACATCGTTTTTTCCGTGAGCAGCTTCTAAACTTATATTTTTCGTAGAAATTATACGATAAAAAATATTAAACTAGATTTTAATCATTGCACTTGTTTGCTATTTTTTATTATAAAACTATTAAATGCTATTTTTTATTTTAATTTTCAGGATATTGACATTTGACTTGTCAGGATATGTAAAAAAGAAGGATACATAAAAATATATTTCATAATATAATGAAAATATATCTTGAGAAACTTACTGTTCCACGAGACGTTCGTATTCGTCCATGATAGCGACGGAGGCTTTCCTCACACGTGACAGATTGAAGTCCTTCGTGTGTAAGTGGTATTGCGAAGTAACCCAGCCAACGTAGACGTGAGTCGGGTCTTGTCCAGGGAATATCCTGACGCCGTAGAAGTACTCGTTCATCAACTTCATGCAGTCAGCGTCGAAGATTTCATTGCCGATCGCTTCGACACCAGTGCCCGTTAACACGGACATCGCTTTGGGGACATTACGCTCCGGGATTTGGGGCGGCACGACTTTCAAGTCCGTCTACGGAAGAAGAAATTACATTATATTGTTATATTTCATCATATTTGTATTCGAACATGTCTATAACGCTGCGAAATACTCACGTTCGAAACACGAACTTGGGGAGGTTTGGCACTTTTGCTCCCGAGTGTTCTCGTACTTTTATCCGAGATATCCGAGCGAACCTGCGGCTCGGGTGTCTTCGACTTCGCATCCGGGGATTTCGCTTTACGTGAGAAGAACCTGCACACACGGTGAAAAATGTGTAATTAGCTTGTTAATAAAATCAACGATTACCCAAATAATCACCGAACGAGACGTTAAATAGAATATTACGAAAGTCACTATTCATGATGTAACATTTCATATGAGGGTTGAAAAAAATGCTTCAACTTACGGTACATCCTCCATCTCTTTGCTAAGCTTGCTAACAAAGTCAAAGTACCGAAGTCAATTTACCTTTTGCAATATTGATACAAGACAGTAGTCATTAGTAATTCGTGTTTACCGGAAAGGTGAGCGGCCACGTTTCTTCTTATCGTCCTTTATGTCACCATTCATCTCGCCGTATCCATTCATCTCAGCATCGCTGATCGCATTGTCCAAATTACGCGATCCATAAAGGGAACCTTTCCTAGGCGGCCTGGAAGGTTTACCCCTCTGCATAGGAAGTGGCGATTCCTTCAGCATCTCATCCGCCTCGACCGCATCTTCAGAGTAATTTCTTTGCAACCCTGTTCAAGTGTCGCAAAAATATTCATCATATTTTTGTTACACATATTTTCGATTTACATGCCACGAAGCACAGAATGCTCACATGTAAAAATGGGTATTTTCTAAAATGTTACCTTTGATATCGCTCATACTGAAGCCAGACTTCATAATTTGCTCCAAGTGAGCCGACGGTGCGGTTTGCTGCGCTTGCTCAACCTGCTCGGCTAGAAGTCTATTCTGTCGCATCTTAATCTCCTGCCATCTTCGCAGTTTTTCGCCCTCTGTTACGAAGCTGGACTGACAAATTACGGGCAACGATAACCTGAGGAATTCCCAGTTAGCCTTCTCCATTGTCTCGAACGTGTTGTGAGAGATCTTCAGGCATGGTGGGGTGTCGGAGCCTGCTGGTATCCTAGCCACGTCAATTCGCGTATCGACCATGTCGTCGGTGTTCTCGAAAATAGGTTGATCTTTCGTGTACCAATACGTGACTAGGCGATTCATGTTACTGTGAAAATAAAAATTTAAACATTAATTTCTCACTAAAATTTGTCGCCTGGTGTTTGTTAATTCCAAATGATAATTGTCGAAATTATTAACCAACCATACACAATGATCATTTCTCGAAATGCAAAAATTTGTTATTTAAAAATTTTTAGAAACCTAATAAACTTTGAAAACAACTTTATATTATAAAATACATTGTAAAATATTCTAGATACTTTTTAATTATCGAATTAAAATTAAATTGAAATTACGTACACGCAAAATGGTTCGTAGCCTTCTTGCAAACCGCAGGTGGTGAAAAATTTGAGACTGTTCACATCTTGACCGAACGTTAATCTCGCCTTCTGACCGACGCCGAGAGTGAACGCAGGTACGAAGCAGTCACCTTGCACGTCGGCGAAAGAAGTTTCACCGCCGAGTGCGTCCATCAGCAACTCTCCATTCAAGGAGAAGCCTGTGTAATTTTCAAATTTGTAGCGCAAGATATATTGAGCATTGCGAAAACTCGGAACGAACGTTAAACGAGTCGGAAAACATGATACAATAAAAAAGTATGCAAAATAGGTAATAAAAGATTAATTTTATTCGACAAGTTTGTCAAACATTCGTTTCGACTCGCAAACAAAATAAAAATCCAACGACCGAGCAACTAGGCGATATATAATCATCACAATTATTCGTAAAGGCCGACTGTTAATTGACACATACAGATACGTAAGTAAAACAAACTAAACAAAATATTATACAGCCGTGAGAAATATTTCGTACTGTATTTTAATAAAATTCCTAACACGGCCAATTAGAAATTCTTGAGACACGATGCATCAACAATTACAGCAAAGCAAGTGCTAGAGTGGGCCATACGAATGACTTGATAGATTAAAAAAAAAAACTTTGGCTTCTATCCATTAAAGAGATAATATATTCCGAAAAATATCATTTGGAGGTCTTGGAATATTGATTTTCACACACAAATTTGCTTTCGTTCGTAGGACCCACTGATTCAAATTCGGACAAAGTAAGCATGCAAGCGGCGTTATTCGAGGGAGGTGTAATGGAAAACCAAATACGTGTAATATTATCACACACGGACGATGCACTAAGTAGAATAAAAATTTCACGGTAAAAAATAAAACAAAAAGCAAAGGTATATGCCGAGAGATAAAAAAAAGGAAGATCATAACGACTCGAATCTGTCTGGAAGACACTCTCCGATACTTTCTCTCCGACTGACGTGTAATTCAATTTACACGGTATGATGATTCGCAATTAATCGATCGTAGTCTGTAAGATGGATATGAGTTGTAATGTATATCCGGTGTTCCCTGAAGTGATTACGTTACGTTCTGTAATACTCGTACAAAGACCGTATCGATATTGTATTTGGGGGGGGGGGGGTTACTGTTTCGGAATGCACGTGATATGATCAACATAGTATATTTTGGGGCCACCCTGGTGTTAATGATTAATAAATATTAAATTATGGAAGCACTGTTATCGCTGACAGTATAAACGCTGAGTAGAGTACTGGATACCGGTGAAGACATTGGACAGACATGATTTTCGTCGATCGACAGTATGGTATTTATTATATTAATGATGATAGAAACCAGGATTGTCTCTGGTTCTGCAGTTAACCCCAATGTTGTTAAGATGACGGTGACGAGATGGGATATCCTGTGTGCGTGAGATGATCGCTTGATAGCTTTCGTTTAAGCAACCGTCGCAACGGACTTTCCTCTACATGATAGTTCAAGCGTGATAATGCTCTTCCCCGAAGAGTGCGAAGTGCGAAAATTTTGCCTGACAAACGTCCGATCGGATTTCAAATTACCGACACCGGCGTATATCGAGGTCGACATCGCGGACAATTGTTTGAGAATTATACGTGGCCTCGTGCGCTTTGGAATGAAATATTATCTCAGTTGCACCGGCGCAATCGTTCATCTCGTTTCTTCGTGTCGTCGTACAATCTGTTCGTCTGGTTAATACTGGGTGTGTGGTTGAGAATCGTGTTAAACACCACGGTGCCTGTATCCAGTAATCTATCTCGAGATATCAAATTATGTGTGTATAGCTTGAAATAACAGCTGAAGCGTTTCGCTTAAAGATTCCGTCTTACTAATCGTTCGGTCAATTAGATCCAGGAAAACCCCGACAACGTCTCCGACCTGCCATTGTTTGCCGAACGTTTCGGCCGTGCTCGAGTATACTTTTTCCTCCTTTAAAATAAAATGTTCACCAGTTCAACACTTTAGCTCGTGGAGATCGGCACAGACCGGTAGTCGGGCGTCCGCGCAACAAAAATGCACATCGTGATTTTTCGGTTGTTCGCGCGAGTTGGGTCCAAGGGGCGGGGCACAATTTGTACAATTCGTCTTTCATCGTTAATTGATACGTACTTCGACGTCGTTTTTACGCGAGTCTTCCGCACGATACCGCGCGAGGGAATCCCGCGGATTCCCCCGACACTGATCAAAGTCAAGCCACACTTCGCCGAATGAAATTTCTCCTGCGATTTCATTCGCCTTGGGACAAGGATGCAAGATAGAAAACCAAGTCAACATGAAAGAAACATATAGAGCGAGACAAATACAATAGTAGTGACCAGAAAACTCAAAAAAGAAAAAGAAGAAATATGTATATGTAAAATGGGGCCTTTAGATCGGGCTTTAATTTAAAGTGGGAAATGGGACTCTTACTGATCGTTCGGTCTGCCACGTCAATGAAACATCCAACTATGTCGCCCACTTGATATTTGTGACCAAATGACTCGTGGGTGCCAGCGTGCACTTTGGTCACCTGACATTCATACTCTTATGGATTATTCGCATCTCATAGATCGCGAACGAGAGCCACGTGGCGCTTACGTTAATATCACATTCGACTTGCGACACACACGAGCTACCGCGCACAGATTACACGGAGCTCTGGCTGATATATTTTTATCCGTAAAGAGAATCTAAGCGTACGCGAGCTCTAAAGCCCATATAAAGTTCTCACCTTCCATGGCTATAATAATCCGAAGTATTATACAATCTCACACCGACGTATTAATATCAGAAATAGAGAGCTCTTATAACAGAAAATGAAATATTAATATCTTTACATTTAATCGAGACGTAAAAATGTTTCCTTCCGGTTTCTATGTTACTTATCCATTACTTGTAACTCGATTCGAGAATTTAATTCTGTGCGAAAATGCTGAATCGTCGCTTTTAACAATTAGAAAAGTTGTCTCGATTCTCCGTGAATGTAAACGATTAAGTAGTTAAGTTACGAAAGAAAAGCAATGTCGACACTTACATTGTAACCATCGAAAGCCCAAGTATTTTCGTCGCTGCCCAACATATTTCCCGGCATGCAATCGGCTTTTGCCCAACCAACTCGCATCGGTCCGGCTGTTAGAACTTCAAACTCGAAATACCATTTTCCGTTGCTGACTGCATAATGCTTCTCGACCCTGTAAGTCCTGAAGGATAATTGTCGCAACCTGCTGGCCTCCAAAAGCAATGCTACAAATGCCAGAAAATAAATACATTATTTACACATTATTAACATATAATCAACAAAACCTTTTGTATTAAAACAAAAAAAAAAACGAAAAACCTACCGGAATTGCCTCAATATTAATTATTACAAGCAACATTTTCTATTGTACATTCAGTACAAATTTAAAAATTCGAAAATTCGATAAATAATATAAACCATGTATGATAATCAACTATTATAAGTAATAAATGATATTATCGTCGATAATATTTTATCAGCATAAATCCCGTAAACGCTCTTCTGGCAGTGACGTGAAACTATTTTACAAAGCACTGAGGTCTATCTAAAAATAAACGAACGCATTTAACGAGAATTAAAAGTCTCACCCTCGTGCTGTTCCCCAGTAGGTGGATCAAGCATGTATCCATAGACTAACAGTGTTCTAACGGTCTCACTGGCCGTGTCGCGATTAGCCTTCTTGATAGCTTCATCGACTTTTGGATAGGGCACTAAATGGGGACTCCTCCTCATCTCCGAGTCCTCGTTCAAACCGTACGTCCAACCTTGGCTGATCCTCTCCTTCGCCCACAGATTGTGTGTATTCTCAGCGAGCTGGTCAACAAGCTCCTCCATCTTGGGGGTCAATGTGATCGCCGACAGATCGAGCGGCGCCGGTTTATAGCCGCTGCTCTGCAGAAATGGCTCGTTCGGTAGTCTCAAAGTCTTTATTCTAGACGGTGGCTTGTCCATAGTGATGTAATAACCTAAGGCCAAGATGGTCTTCAGGGTCTGCACGGCCAATTGGGTGTCGTAGCGCTTTTCTGCAGCTGGTAGCCGCTCGAACTGAACAATGCAAGGATGTATTTTCCTGATGTCGTCCCGGACCTCGCCGTAGAGCCAACCTGCCTCGATCTTGTTCATCGCCCACATCTCATGGATGTTCTCCGCCAGTTTGTCCCTGATCTGTTCGACGTAGGATGGCAAGTTGACCATCGAGGTATCGACCGGGGCTGGAACGAAGGCGGTATCGTCTTCTACCAGCCATGGGCCAGCCAGGACCACCTTGTTCATGTTGCCGAAATAAAAGCACGGGTCCAACGACAGGATCTGCTGCGGCAGCAAGCTCTCCACCAACGGCGAGAATTCCTCCGGCGGCTGGAACTTCAGTCGACCGTGATCGCCGCCCAGTAGAAATCTACAGGAGAGCTTGGAGGAGCAGCTGATGGAGGGAAAGAACATGCCGTCCAGATTGAAATTCCGGAAAGAGCCCATGATGTGAGTGCCATTAAAGGTGAACGTTATCACCGGCACTGTGAGATCCAAAGCGCAACCGATCACGTCGCTTTTCCTGATGTAGGGCTCGGTGGTGTTTTGCACCACTTGGGTTTTCCTACCACCGGTCCACAGGTGAGCACCGTCGAACCCGAACGAGTACAAGTCGTCGCCGACGCCGTTTCCACCCCATTTCTCGCCACCGCCGGGATACGGCATGTAGCTGTCGAAAATAACGCAACGTTAGTTTAATCAATCTTGATGTAATAAAATTTAACAAATAAATACTGAAAGTGTGCAACATTTTTTATCAAAAAATCTTGTCTAGCAATTATAGTATTCTAAATATACAGGTTTAAAGATAAAGGAATATTGTGGAGTAATTTACCCGGCGGTATTCGCCCATCCGATTCTCAAATGCGGCATCATGTGGGTCGTCTGTTCAATGTGATCAACGGTCACCTCGAAATACCACTTTTGGTATAGAGCGGAACCCTCCACCCTGCCGACGAATATATTCGGCCTGACGCTCGCCACGTGGTCAACCAATTGTGTTTGGAGAAGTAGATTCTTTCCGGGCAACAGAAAGTCGCAAATATTGTTCTGCGAGGAGCGTACCGCGACGCCGTTACCGACGCATAGTGAGCACAAGACGTCCAGGACTTTAGGATCCCTGCCGTGTTTCTCCAGCAGAGAAATGATCACTTTTATATGCTCATCCTGAGAAAGCAGATTTACATTGGAAATTGAAGATCGAAACTTTCAGAAATATTGCTGTTTGCCAAATAATTTGTCTATATATTACAAGAAACGGTCCATTACCCTCATCATGTTCAAAGCTTCCGGCGAGTCAATCAGCACGCAGTGAAGCACATCCAACATTCCCGTTCCTTCGCTGGAAGCCTGCGAGCCCAGTCGGCTGAACAGCCAATTGAGACGATTACTGTTGGCAAACTGAGCGCAGTTGGTGTGATTTCCCTTGATAATGGCCGCTAACAATTGGTAGAGGTATCCGGATATCTGATCCCAAGCCTGGCCACTCTCGTCGCCGGAAAGAGCGACGAGGAATCCTTGCGAAGTGATCACGTTAATCTTGTCGATGGCCTCGAGGATGAGATTCAGTATGCCTTCCTCTTGAAACAGATCCTGACGATTTCTGAGAGCTCGGAATTTGTTTTGCTTCTCCTCGTGTTCCATGTCGTCCTCGGGTTGAGCAAAGTAGTTGATCAAGTCCTCCAGACACATTACCATCTCGTTGAGGTTCACGTTTTGAAAGAACATGGACGCTCTTCTGTTCACCTGCAACGTTTCTAGGCCTCTAAAACATATTCGATAATTTTAGCAAAGTCTACTTTCGTTTCCTGCTGATACATATTCCTATACATATTTTTAAATTTCCATTAATTATATGCGCATAAATAATAAAATAATATATATAACATAAATATCAAATAAACAATATGATAATGATATGACAATATATATGTATATATATGTCATTGATAGAAGTTAATTAAAAACTAAAAATATTAACAACTCACGTGATGAATTGCGTGAACAAGCTACTGCACTTTCTGATGACGCGGGCGGTGCGAGATTCCTCTTCTTGAGATCTGGAGAAATCCAATCCGTCGTCCATCTTACCCTCTTCGTGAAGCACCGCTTGCTTCTCTTCGACCTTTCCGACTCCTTTCTTCTTCGTTTCATACGACTAAAACAGGATCTTGTAATTAATATTATGTAAATCCATCGGGCTTTCTATCGAACGTTCAAACGAACTTTAACCGAACGAAAACCAATAAAGTGAGTTAAAGTGGATTTTCTCATTTATAATTCACCTCTCAAGAAATTTCTTTTTTTACCTTACCTTATAAGATACCCAGAGGCACGTGGTGGCGTGTTGCATAATAACAGTGGAGTCACCGTATTTAATGATCGGCATGCCGATTACTTCCAGGTCCTTGTCTTCGAGAATGATCTTCTGGTCGTCTTTCTCTTGTCGCAGCCAGAACGTCGAAGTCTCGATCGTTGCGTCATTCCTTTGGGGAGGAGATATAATTGCGGATTTAGGAAACATTATCACAAGCCCGCTCAAGAATCACCGTGACCCTTGAACTTTTCTAAAAATAAGTATTAACCTATCGACCAGATAGAGCTCGTTGTTCTCCTTCACACCGAGATAACGTCCGGTTGTCAGATGCCTGATCCTCATAGGGTGTAACCAGTTGATGAAGCCACCCGCCCATTTCGTCCTGGCGAGCTCTAATCTCCACAGTGACCTAGCTTGGCTCATCACGCTGCCGCCTTCGTAGATTACAAGACTGTAAGGCAATAAATAAAATAATCTCAAACGAGTCTTCATTTCTTCTTAATTTTCAGGTACACAATGAGATACACATAATAACGTAAGAATGTCGAAGTACACGACAGACGTGATCGGAGCTCACTTTTGACTAGGTGCTGGACCCCAAGTCGACGGTATCGTCAAACACTCGTCGCCACCGTGAAAGAACCTCAATACATCGCCACCGAAGACGTAACCTACGTATTTCATTCTGCTGATACCGGTGCCGTAGGGCTGCACCGACCAATGCGTCACGTGGAAGGACGCATTGACCACCGACAAGTCGTTTTCCTTCGTCGTGTGCTGCAGCGAGAAGAATTCGAAGATCTCTTTACTGCTAAATCAACCTCAATAAGTCCATTATTCTTGCTCACGTGTCAAAAAACTCACCAGATATCGTTCGGTCGCGACGGACACCAGGATAAGATCGTCACCCACGCGCACTTTCTCACCCTCCGATCTCTGCTTGGAAGCGGGATGCACGGTCCACCAACACGCCTCACCTGCGAGAAATTTTCTGAAAAACTTCCGAGTGCGAATAAAGGTGTTTCCTTCATTCGTACTTCTTCACTCGTAAAAGGATTTCACAAGTAATGCAATGCAATGCAACTATGGACTTTAATCTCAATTCAAATCTGTCAAAAGTTATAATTTCATTCAAGAAGCAGTCGTTCGAGAATATTTAACAGAGAAATGCGTTGGAGCAAAGAAAAACTTAGCCATTGCAAGATATAACAAGAGAGAATTAGTTGAAAGAGATAAAGAAAGAATTAATCGGAGGAGAGGTTCCTCTGCTACAAGTGATATTATTTTACTTCCTTTGCGGAACGTGTTTAATTATTATAAATTTGGGATTCGTTGAGAAGTAAGGTATGTAAGAGTGTATATGCTCTCCATGTACCTTGAGAATGTTGCTGTAGACCGACGTCGAAGGCAAGCTTATCGTTCGACGAACTCGTGGACAAACACGCGAGGTACTACGGTGCATGATCATAGATTTATGCAATCATGAAAGATTAATAAACGCCGCGTAATCGCACAAAATTACAAAGAGGATCAATTTACCATGTCGCTATTGAGATGTCGCAGCAATATGGCATTACCGTATAATAAGGTCCTGTGTCCTGACCCAGTGCCCTTTCCCTGGAAAGCATCAAAGGATTGGTCAAAGCTACTGTCACCCTTCGCACCCGATAGTAATTTTTCTTCTCTCTATATACCGTATTATATATTTTTAATAGAGTAATAGAACTTCTTAGACAACTTCTACAAGCGTACTGATAAGAGAAGGCCATAAATGTTTATTAACGTCAAGCTACGATGAGAGACTAACGAGATTCATATCGAATCATCGAGATTATTGAAGACGGTTTTAGCGTAGATAGTTAATACGTTAGATAGCCAAATAAAACAGTCTCAACGTACGTTATGTCAACACTAATCAAAGTTCTCTCAGCGTGATCGCTTAATCGACCGATGGGTGATGGTGTCTCGATTTTTGAAAAAATTAAGGAGATTTATAACTGACTATCATTTTTCTCAGTTTTTATTTATTTTAAGATGCGATAACATTGATCTGAAAATCCTGTTAAAGGACACAAAATGTTCGTCATTCTTTGAACATAGAGACGATACGAGCTGCTTATCTCTCTAAAGTTGCATGAAATAAAAACTTAAGGAAATACACTTAATTTAGCTCTATATTTTATTCGACTACATTTATCCACCTTTGCACATATTTAGCGCTAAACATTTAGGCTGTTTAGTTCTCATTCCAGAATTCGCTATTAATGCGTTCACGTCAGGCGAATGCAATTCAGAATCACGCCCGGCTAGCGCTAAATACGACGCTAAATGCAGACGCAAGTGCGAATTATCAAAATTTTCCTGAGAAACCGCCTTCGCGAAATAAACGACTCGTATCATATCTTCACCCAAGCTCGATCGAGCATGTGTCACGACATGATCCAACACACAAACAAGTGATCGTTTTACCCAAGAGCGGACACATTACGGCGCCCCGCAGACGGTACGTATTTATACTTACTAAACTGTCTTGCTGCTGCAAAGAGAAACATAAGAAGCAATGAATCTCCTTCATCAAATGTCGTTTCGGATTTGTTGGAAAGAGAGAGAAAGAGAGAGAGAGAGAGAGGGAGACAAAAATATAGGAGGAAAAAGAATATGCGCGCGTATGATGTTTCACAATCGACGGTGATGGTTGGTCTTAGTCAAGCTTTCAGGTGATACCCTGTTTTGTTCTTTTTTTCTTTCTCACGGTGCTAGCATATTTCGAGTAACAAGGCCACAGGTGAAGACAGGAACGAGAAGATGTGAGAATAAAAAAAAAGGCGATTCAAAGTCGTTTTGCATGAAAGCATGCGACAAATCATACGGACAGGGGGCGGTGCGTTGGCGGGCGGGGGATGCGTGCGAGAATGCATTCAAGAAAAGCTTTATTCCGATGTATCAGGAACCCTTCGTGAAATCATTTAGTAGAAAAATCGAGCAGGCTTGAGGGTCTAAGGGAGATATCGCAGGGACGTCTGAAAGACGTCAACCGTGATCCTTACGGACGTCTTCCGAACGTCTCTTGGACTTCCGTCGTTGTTCGAGGATTGCGTTTCTCGCACGGTTCGGAGCTGAATGGCACGCATTTTATGGCCCACTCCTATGCAGGTCGAGCGTGTACGTTTCGTACACGGCTCTAATTCGGGAATGAAGGGCTTCTAATCGCGAGGTAGATCATATTGTTCGCGTGGTCAGCGAATCGCACGGCCGCGGCTCGAACTGGGACCGCACGAGCCTCGTTGCACGCGCGACCGAAAAGCGTCCTCCTTCGAAATGAGGGGGTAATCGGTGATGTCTTTTGCGGCACGCGAAGGTGTCGAGTAGAAGCTACGAGTATTCCCTGGAGCTAAACGAATCTCGCTGGCGAGACTGAAGTCGCACGAGGATCCTCGTGCGAGAGTGTACGCTATTAAGCAGAGAGAACTTATACGTTACCGTCTCGGAACCGGCAGCGGTGACCAATTCCTGCAGGGCTCTCACCGAGAGAGCCTGCTCGATCACGAACACACATTGCGACAGGTCCGGCGGTATGTTCTGGAAGAAAGAAATAATTAAACACTCGACGCGCACACGAAACGAGAGCGAGGTGGTTTAAATCGTCGCCGTTACCTTGTCCGCGATATTCTCGAGGAAGCAGTGTCGATTGCCGAAACCCTCGGCTGCCAAGCAGACCCTCTCTCCTGTCGCGGTGCAAGACAGACATACCATATCCTCCTGTAAATTTCAGACAACGCCTTTGTGTGTTTGCTATGCGGCTATGCGGCTCGCTTTCTTAAGAGCTCGGGAATAAATCTGAGGAGATTGATATTTCGGATATATTTTGATTGATTTTACATATTACGTTCGCGACATCCTAAATTTAGTTCTCGTTTTAATGTAGTATTTTTTTTTTTTAATTTTTGTATTTATGTTAGACGACGATTTATTTGCGTGATTGGTCAACATCGATGTAGTCTAACTAAACGAGAGAACACGACGTAGATTTCTCTCGAGAAGTCTCGCCTACATTATATAGCGCTGGTAGCCGCTATGCTGCAATAGTGCGCAATCCCGCCAAATGATGTTGCAATTCGGCACCTCGGATCGCCGGAAGTCGCGATTTATGATCCACACCCGAGTCTCGCAAACTGCCGAAGTCAGAATCAATGAACGTGTCGATTGACGAGAGAATCGCCGATCGGTTGCTACCGATTCGCAAAATAATCACTTGACGCAATCGTGGGATTTTACGAAATCGTATGAATTACGATGCGAGCCGAGCCACAGAATGCGGTCACCGTGCCAAAACCAATTTGGATGACCTCAAGAATGCACGAAGACCAGGCATATGCAAGTATGCATCGGTCTCGAGTGCGCTTCGTAATTTTTGGACATGTCTCGCCTCTCGCATCGCGAGAGGAAGCAACACTCGCGTGCATCGCACGAAGCGCCGTTATTTAACACGCGTTCGTAATAACGTCGTACCTCACAAAGCTTGTCGAGTGAGTCACTCGATTTGCGCCGCTCAATTTCCGTTTCCATCTACACGTAAACTGCATTTTTCTCAAAACTGCACGGTCGTAATGTGTGACTTTAGACATTAATTTCCTATCGAAAGTTTCACCTCATCTTTCATTCTAAAGAGAGCCAAATAGCGTAAATTGGCGTGCATGCCCTTTAAGTTCAAATGTGATATTAAAGAAAGAAAGGAAGAAGAGAGCAACTTATCGCAAGACAAAGTAAGAACGAGATAAAAGACGGAATAGAAGAAAGAACGGAGGTCAATCGTATGCGCTCGTGAAAATTTTATCAGCGGTTATAGGAACTATAGTTGAAAATTGCACGAGAAAGTTGTTTATCCCGTTACTTTCGTAATAAGCCTAGATCAGCCGGTTCCATCATACCAATGTACACATTTATAGTATATGAATTACGCGTGATGAGTTGGGCGGCAAGGTCGTCCCGTGGTCAACATTTCCAAGCCTGGTTTTAATGGTGCGCGTAGCAAATTAACGGCACGATAATCATCTAAGTACTTTAATCTCATTTTCAGCATTTTCCTAAACGCTACGATACCAATGAAAAAAAAAAAACGAGAACAAAGATATTCAATTATTTTTGCAATTATGTAAGAAAGATTTTTTTTAAATAAACTTTAACAAACTTTATCGTATTAAAAAATTGCGCGCTATTGATATCGCACAAAAGGGCAAAAGGTAAATTCTTCGAATTGCGAACGATTAACTTTTGACTGAAAAATACGGATAACGCGCGAGATATTTTCCAATTGCGATATTACTGGATACAATTTGTCGGTAATTTAGTCACGATTTCAATAATTTCGGTGCTTCATTGTAATGATATTTTCAATCACTCTCTTAGGAGTAAAAGCAACGCAAAATATCTCATACTAAGATAAGCCGTGTATTTTTCATTTTTGAATTTTGAATATTATTATATTATACAACTTTGTAAAACATTAAAATATATATAACTACGATGAAAAAAACATGGATTTTACGGTTAATTCTATCTATGTCATCAATTCAACAATACTAACTAATTGTGCAGACTTTCTTATTTACAATTATTTTTAATGTTTAAAGTACCTTCGGAGAGCATCCTAATATTACGACGTAGAAATTATCAAAATTCACCGCAATCAAGTAAATGACAACACACAGATAAAGCAATCATCCGATTAGACCGTTTAATTGAAATCGATGGCAGGCCGGTTTGTCTCGGAATGGTGTGAGCGTGGCAAATTACTTGATACAATCATATTAATCGTATCCTGCAAACGTCATCACAACCACACCCGGTCTGTCTTCGAATGAAAAGTAAACCGCGCAAATATTGAATGCAATAAGCGCCTACGCGCACGTACATTTTCGACGCGTCGCCGGTTTGTTCGAAAAAAATTAATATTCAACGGAGAGATGCATAAATAACGTTACTTAAAGGACACATTAACATAACTTCCTGCTGGGGTTAAACGGAATGGCACGCGATTCGTCGGTACGCTCATATATTTGCGTTCGCGGCACGCGAGGTACCGAAAGTCACTGGAAATTTGGCAGAGAGACCTAATTTTATTTATCGAGATATTTATAAAGCGCTATGGTCAATCTACCCTGGAAGCAAGTGACCTCGCGAACGATTGGTTTCACCAACGTTGAGCGGCGATCAAAATATTGATTTAAATTCCCAGCTCGCCCGATGTTTCACCTTCGTAAAATTGTATGATGCAATTATGTGGGAAACAAGAGAAAAATAAATTCTAACGAAGATGTTAATAAGATCATAAAAACCTGTTTCTTCCCATTTGTAATGTTTGTTACTGTATCCACATGCATGATCGAATATAATGTCGTAATTATTTTCGTACTTTTATGATAATAAAAGTTCTTCTCCGATTAATTCGATCATATTCTGTGATCTTTAAAATATTAACAGTTTCACGTCTGAATCCGATGAACGCGATGTTCGAGATTATAGGATTGTGACTGGACATTTGGCGGACAGACGCGCGACTTATGCATTGATAATGAACCAAATATACCGGTTACTTCCGGCGTCTGTGGCGACGATCGAAGTCACAACGTATCGCGGTATAGGTCAAGGGTGCACTACTATTTTACAAGCAGATAATCCCTATAATTCTATCAAACCAACGAGTAACCATAAATCATATTTATACGGCGCAGCGAAGTGAGTCAGAAATAATAAACATGCTTGAAAATATTAATCTTTCACACTTGTTGCAACTTATAGGAAATACAAGGAACTTATCGTACTCATGATTCAACACATTTTTGATAAAAACCAAAACCTTCCGAATAATAATTCTGAAATGAATCTCCTAGTGAACTCGATTGTATTCATATTAATGATTTCACAAATCGTGAGTGATAAATTTGATTGAATCAATTTCTCAAATTTCTGATGATCTCCGGTTAAATTAAAAATTGCTTAATCGCGTAATTTATCAGGAATGTCAGATATATACGTGAAGCGATAGGACATTTAATAAACTTATATCGCTAAAGAATAATAAACTTCGTGACGCCTCACGGCATCATTGAGCCGGAAGAGGGTTAGAAAGGTGTTGGTGCAGCGCGCTGTCGTGCGTGTGCTATATCGTTTGTTGTTCAATACTCGGTGCATTGGATAGATGCTGCGCGCATCGCAGTGAATTAATTATAAATTCATCACATTTTCGAAGCGACATCACTAATGAAAGCTACGGTAACCATATTGATCAGACGGACAAGCGCCAGCATCGAATTCTAAAATTAGACGAAAAGCGACTCGCTTTAAAGAACAACATTGACAACGTATCGATATCTCAAACTTCACTAGATTTCTAAACACGCGAACGACGACTACTAACTATATGCATATGTATCGGAAAATTCCGTCAGCAAACTACACGATGAATAATATCGGATTATTCGACCTTACAAGACGCTTAAAAAAATGTGTCGAACAAAATTAACGGGGATGATATTGAGTTTATTGATAGTCTCGAGAAATACGTATTTTCCCGTTTTTTTCATTGTGTCCGTACAAAAGTTTGAATGATTTATTTCTTGTTTAATCTCAAAGTTGTGTTATAAATGTCCGTTATTTAAGCCTTTGTATTTGAATTAATAAATCGAGGCAAAATCGAACATAATCATTCGCCAGTTTCAGTTTCGCTGAAGAAGCAACTTTCGCAACGAAACATAAAAGATATTGCAACCGAGAAGCTTCCAATCCAACTTTATACATGCAACAAACTATATATTTTACGCAGAGACGCGTAATCGATATTCGGCCTTGTCAAAATTCATTGATATTGCCATACTGATAATCGATATGACATCGACCTTTCTCAAGCATACGAATTGAAGATAATCAAGTTGGTAAAACTTCAGATGTTCTCATATATCGAGAGACATTTTCCTCTTTTTTTCGGTCAAACGTCAAATTACCAAGTGAAAGTTGTGCCGGGAGAAACGACCAAGAAACATGGACAAATCTCATATTTATGGCAGCACGTCCAACGGTAGCAGGTGAGCGATATTGCGCACCTTCCTGTCGGACTTGCCGAATCCATTCGCAGGAAAAGTAACCTGTCGAACGGCGCCGATACGATTTTTCGCGTGAAATACGAACGTACGTTTCCGCGGCACCGAGAGCTCGGCCGGTTTCATGTTATCGTGACGCGAATCTGACAGAAACGTATTTTTCACGTGATTTTATGCACCACCGGTGCAACGACTCGGTGAGGACGCAGATGCCTTTCTTAAATCCCACGGACAAGCAGTCACGGTGTGTCGATGATCGAAATCTTACAGGGAACAATCGACTTGCCCGACCGACTTGCACCTCTCTCATCTCATATACATATCGCGTCGTCGTAAAAGTTCGTTAAATTTTCGCCGTAACTCGTAAACCCATGCTGAACGTGAGTCTGCCATCTGCGAACGACTTCGAGGAAAAACCGGAAATTTCGCGAGGATCGATAATATCCCGTTCGCTTTGATGGCCGATAACACGTGTTATATCGAGCACGAACGTTTACGGTCTATTTTGTAAAGATAGTACTTTAATAGATCTGTGACAAATTTATGTTTATGCTATAGAATACCAAGAAATCGCACGAATTATTCGTTCAAAATTCATTGCAAAATAAACGTCCGCTAATTTATGTATACAAAAGTTTGCAAAGTCAAAATAATAGTAATACAATGCGTGAGAAAAACTAAACCAAAATCCTACACAGATATATCTTTAATGAGCCGGACAAAGAGATGGACGAGCCCATGGAAGAGGTCGATGGTGACAAAGGAAGAAGGACGCGACGCATGGACCGTCGTAGACGCAGAGCTGAAAGAAAATCGAGCTGCCGCTGCAGAACCAGAAGACGTAGAAGAAGAAGACAGAAAGTTCTCTCGCAGAATCCCTTTATCATCTTCTATCTTGAGATGTACTTTAAGGATCCCGGCCAACGCGTGACGGAAGTTGCTAAGGAGGCCGGCAAGCAATGGCAAGCCATGTCCGATGAAGACAGGAAAAAGTACATCAGTCTGGCGGAAAAAGAGCGCGCAAGACGATGCAGGCTGATGAGAAAAAGAAACGCACGTTAATGCTGACAGTGAAACGCATCTCAGCTGCCGATAGGTTCTAGAAAAAGCTTACATCATCAACAAATAACGATGCCAAGGACGTTTATTCGAAATTATAGCAAATTAAAGTTGAGCTGTAATTTTTTCATTTAAACTGCTCTTAACAATGCAGCGTAAATGCATTGGAAATCTGACGATATCAAATTCGCTGGAACATTTTAATTTTAAATTTCATTTTTTAATTTAAAATCATAAACATAATACGTAAATTGTTATATATCTATAGCACGTGACATGCATACAGCTTCTAAATTTCAAAACACCAAATGTATTGCGTCTGAAAATGAAAAAGAATAACAGAACGTAGGGCCAACGAAACCAACACGAAGGTCATAAAACGAGATACACGCGATCCTGTATATGTTGTGAACAATTTTGTGCAATAAATTTAATATGTATAACTTTTTTAAATATGCATAACTTTTAGCCGACTTTGAGATTATAATACTGTTTATATCTTTTGTAATTTCTAACTCTATATTTTTTTCACTTGAATAAATATATAACTATAATTAAAATAAATCGAAGTTTTTTCTTGAATGCGGATAGTAGTATACAACTTGACACAGTCAGAAGTGATATTTAATATACCGATATAGAATACCGATTTTGATCAGTTGACCGATAATCATTTCTTTATTAGGAAATATTTATACGAACTTTATTAGGAAAAAATTTATACGAATTCCCCAATATACGGATTGATCTAACATTTTTCATATTTGCACATAAATTTGATTAGGGAGTAGGGAGTAATCAACTAGATATCGGACAGACAATGTAAACAGAGCATAACGGATTAAATGCGCAAACGTCAAACGCGCGATGGTAAAAGCACAAGGCTGCACCTTGACCAATACGACCGCTTGATTCCTGCAGGTCGAACGGGGTCAAGGTTGTATCACAAGGTACTTTAAGTGCTTCCACGTTTCACTTAAATCTCGCATGGTTTTTCTTGCCGCGACTCCCTACATAAGGAATTGCACGCGAGCGTTCGTAAGTTAAAACAAGCGCCGGCAATTTCAGCTGACACTCATTAAATTCGTTTAGAGTTGCGCGAAACTATAATTTACTCCGGATGCTTCGTTAATTTAATTATTTCTTTCCTCGTTAACCGACCGAATAACGTAACTTTTTTAAATTTCGGAATAATGATTATATATTAGTTAAAGAAAGAAAGAGAGAGAGAGAGAGAAGGAGGGAGTTTTCTAAATTTAAGTATCTCACATGATAAAAATTTTTCCGATATTTTTTTTCCCGGGATAGTCTGAGAAGTCATAGGGACGGTGCAATGTTGTAATACTATTACTACTACTACTACTACTGTCGCGTCTACATCAATGCATCATACGTGTATTGCATCGGATAGTCCCGCACAATGTACAGTTTGCCTGCCTCCTGTGTGTGTAAAGTTTCAACTGCATCGGCATTCATTCATTTCCACACAAACACACCACCGCATCATTGAACGCAAACCACCTCCCTGTTCTCGTGCGCTCTTTGCGGGCACACCAACGGACATATTTACACATGGCTCACTTCAAACCTATTGATATCAGTCGTGCTACCCTCGTATCGTGCCTATCTACCACGTGAACCTCGCGAGGTCACCTACATTGACGAAGACACCTAATCTGTTTGATTTATTACCAACGGATTCGTTAAAATTCACAAAAGGGAACCCTCGGGCACTTCAATATTTATTAGCGGCTCAATTAGCTCAATTTTACAGAATAATAAAATGAAATTCAGAGATAGTATGTACGTTCTTGCGTATTGTTAATATTACAAATGCGTACTAACACTGACGTCCTTCCACGCAAGCTCGACGATCTCTCCGCCCTTGATGGCAATTGCTTCAACATCCCCTGAAACATCGACCTCGAGACTGTTCGAGACTGATATGAACCCTCGAATCACCCTCAATCAGCGAAACCCAAACAACAATAACAACTCTGTGTACCGTCGCGCATTCTCATTTGTGCGAGCTTCTTGATCTTGCTCCGTCTCTCTGTTACGAGCCCTGCGTCATCCCCATTAATCATCAACCTTGAAGCCGGCTACGGTCCCCTCCAACCCCGCGGGATTATAAGCTCGCCCATGGCAAAGTGGGACTTACCGTGCGGAGAAATGATACGTCGTCCTGCTCGGAGCCACCTTCGCTGTCAGCCATCCCCTCGGCAGGCTTCCTCCACGCAACGAACCTCCTCCGTCTACGTCACTTTCACGCGCGCCCGTACGTGTGCACGCGTCTACGCGAACGTGTGCCTATCTCGCGTGTCACTTCGTGTCCGAGGCACCCTTATCGATGCTGACGGGGTAGCGGTTAGTCATGCACAGTTTCGCGTGGTCGGCATGTTCCCGTCGCTATCCTGGCGCAGGCTCTCGGCCTCTGCGTCTCGTCGACGGGGACGACGACGAGCCCGAGGACGACGACGAAGGCGACGACGATAGTGACGTCGACGTCGGCGTGCTAATCCGTCGTGGAGCACCGACGATTACCCACTGCTGACTGGAGGGCACCCAGACCAGTTCGCCGACGACCCTTGCGCAAGCGCTCGGCACCTTCAATCAAATTCCGCATGCTCGAGACTACGTTAACGTAAAATCCCCCTACGGTTGCACGGCTTTCGCGTTGCGCGATTGTCTCGCCGTGAAATATCGTTCGGATATATTTTTTCGAAATGGAAGCCCGAATATAACGGCGCGGTTGCCGGGCTGTGTCCGGGATGAGGACGATATTAACGTGCCGTGCGATATTAGTTCGATTTATAATCGAAGTGGTCTACGGAAGAAGGACTTATGGACTAGAGAATGACCTTTGGAATACATCTCTTTAAGTTTTTAACCTTTGAGGAAAGTCGATGTAGTTTAATCGAACTTTTAATCAAGAGGAATTACACACGAAGATGTGTACAGGTACAAATGCGTTGCACGTCCGTGGACTATCTCGACTGCTGACATTCGCACGTGTTAATTAAAATTCCGCCTGATGCGCGGCGAAACGCGAATATTTCGGCGTATATTCGCACACGCGTCGTATTCGCGTAAAAATAGTTACGAGCAAACACACACCTCTCATTTCCACGATAATCTCAGACGTGAGTCACCAAATGAGTGTTCAGTCGTTGAGTTAGAAAGTATTTCGGAATGACGGTATGTAAGCGCATTATACGTCGAGTAACATGTCTAATTCACTAACTAATCCGGTTAAACTCGTGTATAGCGCGAATGTAAAAAACACAATCTCACCAACTATCGGCGTTATTGCTTCGATTTACGATCGACAACTTGAAATATGGCTATTGATTCGAAATCATCGATATTATTGCCATGAGCGCGAACGACGAATAGAATACGAAGCGTTGAATATGGCAATAAAGTTAAATCGCGCTTTAATGCAGAATTGAGTTAACGCAATAGTTCTAGCAACGAGCGTTTCTAATCTATAACCTTTATACGTAAAGTGTGGTTGAGTTGTTTAATACATAAGATTGCGATGAGCAACCCGAACAATGTAAAATACGATTAAAAGACGTGTATAAATTATAAACAACTTGGGTATTCTTTAAACATTTGCGATGCACTTGAAATAATTCTTTTGTCTTTTTAGAAAGATGTTTTTGAAACATAATTTCTTTGAAATCTGTGCGGAGAAGAACAATTGATTGAATTAACGTGACAGTGAACGAACGCTTTTTCGTTGAAAGAAACAGAATTTATAGGCCTTACAAATTAAATTAACTCCTTGCCAGACCAGAAATTCTGTTTCCTTCAACCAAAACGTGTTCAGTTTGTTCATATTAATTCAACCAATTGTTTTTTCTCCGTTTATCTATTATTTCAGCGCTTTGTAACAACTGATATCTTATTTATCGAGAGTGAAATTATTCAGTCCTTATCGAGTGCGCAATTTATCAGTGACGACTGAAGGCAACGAACAAAATACGTACAGTTGATTTTACCTTCTCTGAGAATCTATTTCCAGCAACGTGGCAGAAATAGATGCATTCGCGATGGCTTACCGAAATATCCCCATGCGTTTAGTGAGACTCAACTCCCGTTACCGCGCTTAATACGTTAATCGAAGGTTAAGGGTATCTCGAAGGACACGTGGTCTTCTATCGTCGCAAAAATTCTCAAGCTTGGCTGTAGTAATGAGAGACGAGGGAATATACCGTGCTCGACGAAATCCGCGCACTCCGCGATAAATTAGATAGAAATTTCATAGGAAGTCGATAAATCTCTACTCCTCCTGTTCTATAAATATATCTTGTATCTTTATCCTTTGTCGCGATATTGAACGCTTTATGTCAGAGACGACAATTTGCCGTTATTTTTACAGATAATATTCAATAATGATATCACAAAGCTATGTTGATACATGAACGTGGTCTGACCTTAAAATTCTGATCTTAAAATTTCTATTTAATTCTTTCAGCTAACTTTAAATGAACGAGTCCCGAAATATTGGAGGATGCTTTTTAGATATTTTTACTGCGGAACTTTTAGTGTTTCGACTGTCTGGCAATACTGTTCCATATAGCATTGCATAAGAATACAAAACCGAGTTTCTAATTTTAGGATACGAGAGATACAAGACTGTTCACTAAACTGAAAGTCCCGCAAAAACATTTCGAATTCAAAGCCCCATCATGTCATCGTGTTATTTCATGTCGTATCAGCGTACTGAACTGTTTTTAAGAGGTAATTAATCATCTGCCGACATTTATATAAACGAGTCTAACTCGACAATTAATTAATTTCATTATTACACTGTGTGTATACTTTAAAGTGTGCTTTTAAATTGTGCTGCACACCGAATCACTACCATGTTTATGGTGTTTCTGAGGATATTCCAACTTCACTGAACAACATTGTGTAACACGTCTACGTCACACTCTTTCGGAAACTCCAACACAAAATTATTTGATTAATCGAGAGAGAGAGAGAGAGAGAGAGACAGACAGAGAGAGAGAGTGAAATGATTGTGAACACCATACAACCTCCCAGAACATCCCTTGCGTACCACTCAACGTTTCACGCGCATACACATACGCACATATACATACACCCTGCTTTCAGGGGTAGCCTTTAAGCGTATCGGGGGTTGCGCGGTGCAGCCGGTGGTGCACTGGTCGCGAGTAGCCGCCTGCATCCGGGAGCGCGCGTCCATGAGGAGGAAAAAGAAAATCAATCGCGACATTCACCCCGAAAGGAGACTCACCTCGAAATAGCACTTCACTTCGACACCGTCGAACTCTCGGTTCGCGCACTCGTCTCGTTTCACGATTTCACGCGGGTATTCGCAAAGACGACCTTCTTTCTCGTCGTTGCACCTTCCACGAGGGTGCAGAAGATCGTAAATTTCGCAGCTCGACCGAGGGCTGCACGCTCGGGCCCCCGCGACGAAATTTCCGTCGAAGTTCGTGGAGCTATGTCGAGCCGAGCGGAGCGGAGCGAAGCGAGTACAAGCGGCTCTCCGGCGGCTATTTTCAGCCTCGAGCCAAGCGAGCCGCGCAGCTCTGCCCTGCTCCGCTCCGTTCCGCGCGCATCGTTCTTGAGAAAGTCTGAATAAACCATCCAAGTCAGCTACGGGCTGCTGGTGACCGCAGGAAATAAACAAGTGGGCGAGCATTGACAAAAACTTCCACTTTGTGACATGAACTTGTATCCTTCGAAACATGTTATTTGTTTAACCGTTATTCGGAAGAATTGCTTCGCATCGTTCCTGAAGATGCCTCGCAGACCTGTCACAGTGACGACGAAGGATTCTCAATGGTCGCGAGTCCGCAAAGTATAAGCAGGTTGAAAATGAATGAGAAAGCAGAAAATTATTCAAAGACTCTGATTTTGTGAGAAATAAATATTGTTTATTACATTCTATTTGTTAAAAATGTTTCGTTACGTTTGTTCTGTGTGTTAGACGGAGTGTATCATTTATACGCAGTATAACCGATGATAAAAATAAGTATAAAAATTATATGCATTCATATTGATGTAAAACAATTTGATGAAAATTTATTGAGGATTTTAATAAAGCTACGAACTAATCTGCAAGCAAGTTTAATTGTTAAAATAAGCCATGATCAAAATAAAATTCAAGTACTGTCGCGTCGAGTAAATCGCCCGACAATGTTGGGTTCGCACATTCTCAAATTACAGCAGATGACTATTATAATCTTTTCGCTTTTTGTTACCACTGAACATTGCCAAGATTTTCAAGTTAACGTATTGTTCCCGCGGCTGAGACACGCGGTAGAATGAATTCCTCGAGAAATAGATCAAGCACCGTCCGCGCGGCTCGCTGTTACCGACGGTTTTTTGAACTCACCGCCATCGATTAAAGACCCGCAGCACGCGCAGAAGCTGACGTGTCTTGACAGAAGCAGTAGACAGGAGCACCGTTCGTGTCATTCATTTATTTTCGCTGTTAGGTTAACGTTTCGACGGGTATATCACAGAAATGCTGGGGAAAATCAAAACGAAGCAGGACAAAAGTGGCGGTAAGTGCGTTCAAATTATCTTGACAATAAACACAGTTGCGGGGAGCAAATTCAATGGAACTTGTGAGACGCGTTGTACTAACTTTCTTGAGAGGTTATGTTTGTTATTTATCCATTTGTCAAAATATTGGATAAATTAACGAATTCACGGGTTCGTCCAACTATTTTACACAAAAATGCACAATGAAACGTATAATTATTGTATCATAATCAATACAACGATGCATGGATAATAGATTATAATTTCTTGTTTTTATGTCAACTAAAATATTGTTGGATAATGTAAAATATTAGCTAAAGTTGGGTAAATACAATTGCATATTGCAGAGGTCATTGCATATAGCGAAGCTGCAGTTTTAAACAATGCTGCAGTTGTCGAATATTGTAAGATATCAATGGCAGCGCTATCGGGCGGTACAGCTGGTCTATTAGGATTAACTGGAATATATGGGTTTGGATTTTATCTCTTTGCAGTTTTTGGGCTATGGGTAAGATTACTAGATGATGATTTAGATAATAATAATTGAATGTGATATCACAAAGCTCTTTGCAGGCAATGCTACTGATGAAAGCGGGTGGTCAGTGGAAAAAATATTTTATTAGTAGGCGGAATCTTTTAACGAGTGGCTTCTGGGGAGGGCTTTTTGTATCCTTTAAACCAATTCGTGAAAACGAATTTTGTTTCAGAGTTTAATTCATTTTCCTTAACAGCAATTGTCTTGTGATTGTGAAACTTCCACCACAGACATACGTATTATTCTGGACGTATCCTTTCATGATACAAATAAGGCAAACACACACTTTACATCTCTTTACATATGTGACATTGATATAAATTTCTTAATAATTGATTAGGTTTTTATATGGGATGGTTCATGTCTATTGAGGATGGGAGCAGCTGGTAACTCGCAGCAATTATAATCATGCAATTACGTACATAATACCGTAAAGATGCATAATTACATAAAACAGTCATTGAATCGTTGTATTTACATCACCTGAGTACTTCAGATACTGACCAAATAAAGCGTTCACGTGATATTGTATAAGTATGTCGATATGTATATAGAATACACTTTTAATTATGTAATAAAACAACTACGGCTTTTATTATGTGGTATTTTAATATGAAGATAAAGACAATATGCAGAGAGAGAGAGAGAGAGAAGGTAATGCAATAGTAATACAAGTGTAGCTATATTCTTTATTATATATATATATGTTATATTTACGTAATAAATTACCTACTGAAATATAATTAAATAATTAAATATAATATTCCGTGAAATATTATTATTAATCCTATATATCTGGTGCATGCAAGCCTTATGAACACATTTATATAAATAGTCAATTTTTATCATTTCTAATCACTATCGTATTGGAATAAAATGATTAAATAATACGTAACGTGATATTTCTAAATCGTTCGTAATATTTTAAATGCTGTCGACGGAATTCTTCATGTTCTCTCAATGCATTCATTAACGACAAACAACCTCATGTGACGATATATATATTTCTAATAATTTACTGCATATTCTATATTTCTATTTTACTATACATTAATGTTCCTTATATATGTACTCTAACGTAGAAGAATCCTCGCACATATTGGAAAAAAATAAGAAATGGATGTACAACTTTCCTTGATTTGTACTTACATGCTCGCACTTTCTACTTCAGCGTTTGTTACTTTGACTCATTCGTTACTGCTACCACTCTCGCTACGGAAATAAACGGAATCGTATATTTATGTCGCTGGATAAAACACTATCTGCACCTACAGTGCATCCTTAATAATCAAATATATTTTAAATAATACAATTACTCGTCTGTGACGTATATTAAATACTTAATTTACTCGAGAAGAAACTCGGTTTCGGCAGTGAAAGTCAATCGTACGTCGCGAATATTAACACAGGGACGAGCGTTAGTTCCTGCGAACTGACAGATTTACATTCCTAGCAATAAATAACACGACTTGGTCGAGGAAGTCCGCGAGCTCAAATTTTCGTCTCGGAAGTTTGCTCATGTGTTGATGCCTCCCCTCGTTTACAACCTTCAGCGACGATCTCGTGGGGGCTTCCGATTTCCAAGACCTCCAGTCTCCGTTCCTCGTCCATTTTGTCCAGCTCCGCTTTGCTTAAGTGATAGACTATTCCGGCCCCGTAACCGTCGCCCAGGACGTTAATCGAGGTCCTGATCCGATCCCTTAAAACAGATTGATCATTATAATTTACGGAATCATAGCGACTACACTCGTAACTTACAGCATCCAGTCGATCGCGAACAGCAGAGACACGTCGTTCGTAGGAAGGCCCAAGGCAGTTAGCACCAAAAGCATGGTGACCAATGCAGCGCTGGGGATGCTCGCGGCTCCGACGCTCGCCAAGGTAGCCGTAAGGCTGTAAAAAGCCAAAGTAGATCTTGGAGCGGAAATTTAATTCTCTTTTAATTCACCGATCAGAGACATTAATCGCGCATGAACGTTTTCTCATCAATATCTACTTTCATTCATCTGTTGAGCGTGAAACAATCAATGTTTCGTAAAAAAAGGAGCAATTTGTTCTTTTTTTCTATGATGAACAATTATATCGCTTCTACCTGACGGTAATGACTTCAACGAATCCTAATGAGATTCCGTTTAATTGTGCGATGAAGATCGCGGCCACGGCTTCGTAAAGGGCCGTGCCATCCATATTCACAGTGGCACCCACTGCCACGACGAAGCGTGTCACTCGTGGATCGATCTTGTTGTTTTCTTCGAGACAGCGGAAGGTTAGAGGCAAGGTCGCTGCGCTGTAAACCCATATACCGATATCTTTTGTCGTTACTACGAGGAACGCGCTAATTGAAGTAATCATGCGAGAAAGTTGAACGCTATCTTTAATATATCTGACATATTTGTTTAATATTACAAGAAGGAACACACTTCCGAATACTTGTTTAAAACTATCGATCGTTACCTCGAAGCCGTACCCAGAGCCGTCACCCAGGCTTGCATCATACCCCTGAAGAATACCGCTGGATTCTTTCGAGTCATAAACCAATAAATTATTGGCAATGTAATGATCGCGTGAATCATCAGGCCCAATACGACCGTCACCATGTACAGACCTAACATCTGGGCAGTTGCCGCCAGATTGGTGATCGACATGATTTTTCCAGCTATCAAGCACATAATTCCGAACGGAGAGTACCTGCGAGTAATTATCGTAGCAACAGAAAATAATCGAGAAACAAAAGAAGAAAGAAGACCTTGTTTTAAATTGAAATAATGAAAATAAAAATCCTCTTTTCATCGTTGAATAACGAATTCTGGAAGGTCGAAAGTGAAGATGAAGTTAAACATAACAAGATAACGCGCAATGATCAATTATGATCTTCGATCGTGGCTTCTATTTACAAGGCGAACGTAAACTGTGCTATTGCTTCGTACCAGACCACGACGATTGTGACGAGCTTCATAATGATCTCGTTCAGCACCACGAAAAAGTCCACCATCAGCTTCCCGCGGGGTCCTATCTGGCCCGCGAGCACGCCGAAGAGGATGCAGAACACGATCATACCCATCACGTTCGTGCCATCCTTGTAAACCAAGGTCGGCTCCACTATGTATTCGCTTTGGTTCGAGCCGATCACGACCACCTTTTTCTTCACGTAGGAGGTCTGAACTTGTTGGAAGCACGCCTGCACCAGATTCTCCGGCACCATATTCCTGAAAACATTAAGGATCTCGTACGTAGATTTTACAGTCACGTAGTTGGAGCACGTTTTTCCATACCGAATGATGTCGAGAATCGCGTCTACAGTGGAAACTTTCGTCTCTTCGGCCTTCACTACCGCCGCGACCGTAGTCTTAATCTGCGGATTACCGGGATGGATCATCAACACCATCGCAATGCCCACTATAGCGGCGAGAATGGTCGTCACCGAGTAGTACGTTAGCGCTCTAACTCCTATCCTTCCTGATCTTTGAACATCTAGCTGTGCCATTCCTGAAAGTAACGAGTCACTCACGCACCACAAGTTTCCAAGGACGAAAATAGAAATGAATCGAGATGTAAAGTTCAAATAGATAATATTTCTATTTTTAACACAAAACGCGTCACGTACCGAGCTTTCTTTTTCTGTTTGACGATAATTGCTTAATCGAATGGACTGTAATTACCGGAGATGAGCGACGAGATGATGAGTGGCAGTATGAACATCTTCAGCATCCGCATAAGGATTTCTCCCGGAAAACTGACGAGAGTTATAGACTGCGGCGAGAGATTGGCCAATCGACCCAAAAAACCGAGACCCAAACCCGCCAAAACTCCAGCAATTGTCAATACCAGAAGCATGTTACTTCCCATCCATTCTACTACCTGTGTTTATCACAACATGCAGTAAGATTCAACAGATTTCTCGTGCGTATCGCAGGTGCTTCCATTTCTTTTCTTTTTTAAGTTATCTTAGAAAGATCCCGAGAAAATTTTATAATGGGAATTCCGATTTTTTACAATCGTCTATCGGGATACTTCCGATGAAATAACTTCAATATCACATATTTCAGATTCTACTGATATAAGACAAATTTGATAAAAACATGACTAACCATCTGTAACCTGTCGAGTGCCGTTACTTGCTGTCGCACTTCAGCCTCGACCTCTTCCTCGGACGTCATCTTCTCGATCTCTTCTGTGCACGACCTGGAAGGCATTCCAGGTGAAAGGCAGCTCGGGTTTCCGGTAAAAACAAGAGAAATATCTTTACGTGTGGCCTTCCTTGGCTTCCGTCGTGGTCCCTCTGAGAACCGCAACAGCGCCGGAAATACGTTGCCCCAAAGACATCCTTCAGGTTTCAAGAACACGTCACTTCAGGATCTCGTGAGGTGTCCTCCTTCGTACGCGAAGTGTGTCGAAATGGATCTTGCGAGTATCATCCCGCAGCCTTCATGGCTGTGCTGTGTCTTTCGACGGTTTGTATCATCTCGGTTTATTCAGACATTCGCTGTTTAAATTCTGCATTATCGAGATTGAAAAAATATGTATGTGTGTGTATATATATACATGTATGTATGTGCATCATCTGCGCTTATATCATTCTATATTTTGGGTAACTGAATTGTTACGATTTGAAAACAGTTTCCTAGCTTCCTAATGTAATCTAAGGTTGCGGTCCGATTACAGCGCTGTAAGCGTCATTGAATCTCTTTTTGGCATGTAATAATTAATAAAGATAGAACGACGCTTACAACACTGTAAGCGTGAATCGGATCGCAGCCTAAGTTACTCAGACCGGAAATGTCTTCATAATTCTACTGTATCAAATCGAACTGAAAGATACGATAGATATGAATGACGGTGTGAGTGGACATTCTAATCGTGGCATTTTGCAGCTTCGCGGTAACAAAAGAAAGGATGAAAGCAGGGCGTACACGAAAACTTAATCCGAGAAACTTCCACCGTCGCAAAAGTGCTCCCGAGTGGATCCTCGATTTTCTCCGGATTATCCTTATTCTCGAGGATTATCTTCCGACCCGTTTACCGGAATCAAACTCCGTGAACGGGCACTTCTCCTCGCGTACGATTACCGAAGCACGTGCGAATCGTTCGGGAGTGCATCGCGACACACGACGATCCTTTCGCGCGATCCAGCCGAGGACCGTCCGAGCGGGCTGCACCGAGAGTCGACACGCTGCTCCCGAGGAGACGACGACGGGGTATAAGGCCCCGAAGGAGGTCACACCCGATCTATTACGTCCAGGATCATTGCACCGCGGTGTCGCGGGCGCGAGTGACATCCGCGAGGCTTTTTCGCGCGCGCGTGATCGACTGCCGAGATCGGATGAATCTGCCAGTGGGCTAGGTATCGCGGCGTTGGGATCTGCACAATCAGGCAGATAATGTGCCCCATCCAGGAAGCTGATTAGTGCGCGCGCCGAGGGAGGCCCGGGGAAGCGAAAGGCGCACACCGAAAGGGGGAAAAGGGACGCACAGGCAGATGACAGAGACGTTCGGGGGAGAAAGAGAGACCGGGTGATCACAGGAAGAGGGCACTCATCGGCGGCGGGTCGCACGGCACCGAATAATAAGCGCCGAAGGAAGAAAAATGCGCGGCACGGCATTTGGTTTTGAAACCGGCCCGCTTGCTCCGCTTGCCAGTTCGAGGCAGTTCAGCCGCATGTTGCATATTGGCAAACGGAAGACACGCTGGACCGAAGATAGGGACTGAGAGCGGGATGAGAGGCCCCGCGAGCGCACGAAACGAATCTTCGACGGTGACGTCGGAGCATGAAGAGTGCTGGAACGCTGGTAACGCATAATTCGTAGAAGTAGGCATTAGATCCGGAAGTGTGACGTAAAATCGCGGGATACGGACACCGACGAATCAAGTAAATGACTATATTATGTAATATGTTACACGATGAAATTAAATAATGAGACTATAGACCGTCGCATTTTGCAGGATGCTTATAATTAGATACCAACGAAGATTCTAAGAAATGACTAGATTTTTCCGTATTTCCAAGTCATTGCGTTTTTAGCTGTGGTGTATGAACGTAGTTTGCATTTCAGAAATAGAAAAAAATATTTCTCGTATGTGAAATGTTGAAATAAACAATCTCTTATAGTTGGTACTATCTTTTCAACGATCTTGTATATAACGATAACAAAAGTAAACGCGTTCTGCAGTGACTTACCCAGATAACACGGTTTCATATGCGTTCTTTAAACGTATGTAATACGATTATGGAACGTTACATACATTTGAAACTGTGCTACCTGGACATGCAGTTACGATAAATTAAATTTATATATTGAAAATTTTGTTTTAAATTACATTTACAAAGCTAGATTTATATGACACCGCTTTCAAAAACATTCTATTAAAATAATTAGAAACAATATTTTTGCCATGATGATACACAAATGACGTCATTAATTATAAACATTTTTGCTAGGATTATTTTATACATACTGCAAAAACCGTGTGTATATCATAATATCTATATTCTGTTAATTTTTTCGATCGAAATCTTCGACTTTCAATCTCCCACGCAGCTGATGATTGCTTGCGAAAACAAGAAGACATCTACGCGGAAATACTTATACGAGATTGTTTTAGATGCACGTAGGATACGACCATTTACAAGACCCCTTTGTATATCCGTTGGGAAGTAACCTAATTCCTCTAGCAATGACGGCTATGAGTGACTATATATAGACTAACATCGGGTTCACGGTGGTAGTATAATACGAGGACAAATCGAATCTCCCCACGATAACATGTTTAACAGCCCGCAACTTCCGAACGAAAGAACGAGCCTCGAAATGGAATTAATAATGCGTTCAGGACAATCAAGTTACAATTGTCATACAAATCATCCTCACTTGGGCACTCATAATCTCAATAGACGCTGCTTTTATCTACAATCATTGTTTTCAGTTCGATGAAGGTTTCTTATTTCAAGTCTGAATGCCTCTCAAAATAAAATGAACGTGAATTCAGATAATTGTTGCAGAGATGTCGATAAAATCATGTACTTATCAATTATTAGTACGCATCAATTCGGCACGGTATTAAATAAAAATTGTTCAGGGTTAGTCGTGAATTGTAATTTCAAAGCTGTGAAGATAAAGAATAAATATATTACAGTACATATATATATATATATATATATAGTAGAGGATTGTATAACATTATAACATTAAAGAAACGTTTTTAATGAACAACGATTTTTTATAACGTAGTAATAATACTTCTATCTATTATCTATCTATTATCTATAATAAAAGAAGTAACACGACTAAATGAAACTCGATCGAATTAAAGGTGAATATATAAACAATTTCATATATAATTTCGAAATAATAGAGTTACATATTTCTATACGCAGCATAACGTTCGTTCAAACTGATCGATTATGCGCAGGTCCACGCGCGAAGATCACGTGACACCTCAGTCCCCTTCCCGGTGTCGACAAGTGTCGCGTGTTTCGCGCGCGCTGACGTTCGTGCTCGCGATGGCTGCGGAAAAACATGAGAAACATCTTCTCTATAACAGTCTGTCGATTCTGCTGAAAGCCGTGGAGAGACAACGAACGACGGTGGATCTACGAAATGAGGCTTCTGTCTTCGGCATCGTCGAGGAGGCCGATGCGTACGTAACTTGCAACGCACTTTACCTTTGTTATAACGTGAAGTTTGCATCGTTTACAATAGCAGTTACTTATTTAAAAATACGCAATTTATTTGCGATAGCACAATATTCTCTTGTTGAAGAATGCGTTTCAGTATTAACGTATGACATTCATTCGCAAATAAAGGATGTCTGATCCTGATGCAATGCAATGTTCTCAGTCGCAATCAGCTTGACACACGCTTGACACACAATCATGTCGTCTTTGTCTCCACAGGTTTATGAACATCGTCATGAGGGATTGTATATTCACAGATCCACGCGGAGACTCATTCAAGTACGACATGTTTTTCGTGCAGGCTAGAAATATCCGCTGTGTTCACATCCCGCCAAACGTAAGTAAGCAAAAAATTGTGATTTCCGCATACATGTTTTTCTCTCCCCCTTCTTCTCATCCTCTCCCCCCTTTCTCCTTTACCCGCCATTCCTCCTATTAGTTTTTTTAGCTGATAGTTTTAGGCAGTTTTCAAGATGAGATAAATAGCACAAACATGACGTTTTTAAATTATCATGCATTGAAACGATTTGTAAAGAAAATCATATGAACGATTTTTCTTTCATCCACATTTTCTCATCGAAATAAGTGTTCGAGTATTGTCGAATAAAGTGGGGGAGTTTCGTATTTCGCGGTTGTGTAATTTAGCTGCCGAATATTTGGTTTGTTCTTTATAGATGTACTATTAAACTGTTTCAATAAGTAAGAGTGAGACGAGTATATTTTGTCCCGCTCTAGCTTACTGCATCAGTTCAGCAGTGCTGCTACAAAGAACAGACCTATTGTCGCAACTGCACATGTGTCGTAAAGCATATTGATAGCATGTCGTAAAGCATATTATCATAAAGTATATTGATTGATTAGTAGTTACAGCTAATATGAGTCTACGTTGAGATATGATAAGATACTTGAGGTACTCTTATTGTAATACTATTAAATGGTGTGTAAATATACATACCTCTGTGCATAAACAAATAACTAGTGGAGCAGTTCTACTAACCAATATCACTGTACACGTGAAATCTTATAGTTCCAAAGTATATTGTATCACAGAACACAATATGAGTGCATTCAAACTAGCTGATTATGACTGCATTGGCTTTGACTTGGATAACACTCTGGTGCGTTATAATATCGCAAATCTGATGCACATGGAGTTTAACATGTTAGCTACATTCATGGTAGATAATCGAAGATATAGTAAGAAGCTGTTAGAACCATTGACAGACAACGACCTGGATTTTATGCAGAAAGGATTGCTGTTGGACTTCGAGAGGGGAAATATACTCAAAATAGGCTCAGATGGTGTTATCCATAGAGCATGTCATGGGACGCATTTGTTAAACAAGGATCAAATACAGAAGATATATTCTGAGCAGAGATGGGAAGTTACTGATATTTTCTGTAACAATGTTCTGGATGCCTGGAATGGCCCTTTGTCTGAGAAAGTGAGGAGTGTGCTGGATTATTTTGATGTACCAGCGAGTCTTGTGTTTGCACGGGCTGTAGATGCACTTGATGAAGAACATGAATCCTGCCAAGATAAATATAATATCTGGCCTGATATATTGGATGGTATGATCTATATGTTTTCTATAGATCATTTTGAATCAGACAAAGGGATCTTTGGCCATATTAAACAAAATCCAGAGAAATATTTGCATAAAACTGATAGCACAGCATTAATTTCTTGGTTACAACAGATTAAACCAAAACCTGTGACTTTCCTTCTTACTGGATCAAACGTAGATTATGTAAATTTTATCGCAAATTATGCTCTTGGGGAAGAGTGGCAATTTATTTTTGATATTATTGTATGTTATGCGAAAAAACCAGGCTTTTTTACTGCTAATCGACCGTTTCTAGATGTTATACAAAATAAGAATACTGATATTATAAGCCAGCAGTTAGAAAGAGGTAAAATATATAGCGAAGGAAATTGGAAAGGTCTACGAGAATTTTTTCGTACAATGGGGAAAGAAAATCCACGATGCTTATATATTGGTGATAATCTGGTGCAAGATATTTATGTACCAAATGCTTTTGCCTATTGTGATACGATATCTGTAGTTGAAGAAATAATATCAGAAAAACATGGCTATTGTACGAATTTGTGTAGTGAACAAAATCTAGATGAGAAAATGTTGAATTCGAAGCTTTGGGGCTCTTACTTTTACTTGACAGACTTGAAGGCTAATGTAGATACTTTCTGGGGGCACATAATCAAAAAGCATTCAAAACTTTGTATATCACGCGTCGAAGAGATTTTAACAACTGCTATGGACAAACCCTTTCCATCTTTTGATAATGGTGGAAAATCATAATTGATATTTTATTTTTATGTCTGTTAGTATATATGCACATTATTATAAGAAAATAATTGTTTTTATTTCGAGATTATGTGGAAAGATAAATAATAATTGTCGTTTTTAAATGTGTTTATTATAAATAAGCGTCAAATGTTTGTCACAAATTTTTACGTTATGTAGCTCTGACGAAAGCATGTTATAATTTAAGATACGGATTATACCAGCTATCAAGGAACAGTTGCAACAATTAAAGGGTCCTGCGAGGGAATTGAAAGATATAAAACATAATTTCAGAGTAGAACGCACACAACGGAAGCAACGGGAAGATCTCGCGGCCGTAAATAAAATTTTAGAAAGTAGAAATAAGATTGATTCTGAATCTACAGAGAGAAAGTGAGATTTATATATAAATTCGGTTTAATATTTTTTTCAATAATTATCCGTACATAGGAACTCGCATAACGTTAATACGTTATACAATATATCGCTCAAATAGATGATGGTGATTTGATTATATGCTTAAGAGACATTACTCTTATTTCATATGTTCTGTACTTTATAGCCTGAGAAAGCTTAACATTGCAATATTATATATATAAATATATCTTTACATTGTATAAATTGCAATATAAAAATATTCAACTATATTATTTTCTAAGACGATATCGTATGTTATAATATTTTAACACGATCGAATAAACTGAATATTAAAAAATTCATATATATATGTATATTGTAAACTTCTATAGACTCAGCGAAAATGTTATTCAGATCACTACATTGCATGAAAAAATGTTATTTTTATAAGAATATATTTTAATGAAAATACGAACATAACGAATTTCATATCGAATAATGAAAACGTTTGTTATTTTCTTTCGATAGCAATAGCGATGCCCATGCCTCCTCCAATACATAAAGATGCGACACCCTTTTTCTTCCCAGTTCTTTCCAAAGTATAAAGCAAGGTAACCAACACTCTTGTACCTAAAAAAATAAAATTCGATCAGAAAGTGAGAATTCCATCGAAGAAAGATTGATCATTGATTTAATAAATACCGGATGCACCAATAGGATGACCTAAGGCGATAGCGCCACCATTGACGTTAACTTTCTCAGAATCCAATCCAAGTTCTTGAATGCATACAATTGCTTGTGCTGCGAAGGCCTCGTTTAGCTCATAAAAATCTACTTCCTCTTTCGTCCAATTTGCTTTCTTCAACTGAGATAATAGTACACATATATAGTAGTAGTCATGATAGTACACATATATAGTAGTAGTCATGATAGTACACATATATAGTAGTAGTCATGATAGTACACATATATAGTAGTAGTCATGATAGTACACATATATAGTAGTAGTCATGATAGTACACATATATAGTAGTAGTCATGATAGTACACATATATAGTAGTAGTCATGATAGTACACATATATAGTAGTAGTCATGATAGTACACATATATAGTAGTAGTCATGATAGTACACATATATAGTAGTAGTCATGATAGTACACATATATAGTAGTAGTCATGATAGTACACATATATAGTAGTAGTCATGATAGTACACATATATAGTAGTAGTCATGATAGTACACATATATAGTAGTAGTCATGATAGTACACATATATAGTAGTAGTCATGATAGTACACATATATAGTAGTAGTCATGATAGTACACATATATAGTAGTAGTCATGATAGTACACATATATAGTAGTAGTCATGATAGTACACATATATAGTAGTAGTCATGATAGTACACATATATAGTAGTAGTCATGATAGTACACATATATAGTAGTAGTCATGATAGTACACATATATAGTAGTAGTCATGATAGTACACATATATAGTAATAGTCATAAAACCATACTTTGCTAGAATAAATACAATCAAATACAAAAACCAGATATGTTATACTAACAACTAATTTGACAGCTTCGACTGGTCCAATTCCCATAATCTGTGGCTCAACCCCAACTTGTGCAACTGCAACAATAGTGGCTAATGGTGTAATTCCTTTACTTGCAGCAGCTTCTTGAGACATTAGAACTACAGCAGCTGCACCATCATTTACACCAGATGCATTGCCAGCAGTAATCGTACCGTTTTGCTAAATAATGTAATAATTTAAAAATGTTATATTTTTCTCCTTGTAAAATTATATTAGCTTACACGATGTGATATTTACATACCGGTCTAAATGCTGGCTTTAACTTTGCAAGTTTTTCCACGGTTGTGTCAAATTTCGGAAATTCGTCTTGAGATACGACGGTAATTTCTTTTTTGCCTCCAATGGTCACTGGAACAATCTCGTTTTTAAAATGCCCGGCAGTAATAGCTGCCTCGGCCTTCTGTTGAGATTTACTCGCAAAATCATCCTGCAACTCTCTGCTTATTGCATATTTTTCCGCGAGGTTCTCAGCTGCTCATAATACATAAATTTAATGTAATAGGAACATGTAAAATTTAACAATATTTTACATAATCAGCTTTGTAATATTCTTTTTTTATACCTGTGATTGCCATGTGGATATTATGGAAGGCGTCCGTTAAACCATCTTCCAGCAATGTATCAATCAATTTGCTACCCCCAAATTTAATAGCAGTCCTGAGATAAGTAGCATGTGGTGCTCTGCTCATATTTTCTTGACCACCAGCCACAACTATATCGCTTTCTCCTGATTTTATGGAAGAATAACCATTTATTACAGACCTGAAAATTATTATATGTCACGTTTCAATGTCATGGCCCTACCATTTCCAAAATTCATATTCAAACACAATCCAACACAAAAAATACATTACTGTAGTTCATACATACTTCAATCCAGAGCCACATAACATATTGACCTGATAAGCTGGCACATGAATAGGTATACCAGCATATATTGCTGCTTGTCTAGCAGGATTTTGACCTTCTGTTGCAGTAAGAACCTGATAAAACAATATGTGATGTATGAATATAAATATATAAATTATAAAAATGAGAATATATGTAAACAAGAATAATAAAAGTATGTTAAAAATATATTTATATTTCACACATATATTTTTTATATATATTTAAATATAAACTATATTTAAAAATAATATAACTTGATATCCTATCTACCGTTTATATGTTGAAAAATTAATACCTGTCCCATAATAACTTCAGAAACATCTGTCCCATTTAATCCAACTTTTGCTAGGCTTTCTTTAATAACAATACTTCCTAGTTGTGATGCTTTCATGCAAGACAACGACCCACAGAATGATCCTATAAGATACAATTTGAATGTCAAAAAATATATGCTGTATATCTTTGACATTGTGATTATATTATCTATAAGTATTCAGATAAGATATATCTGTTCCTTTTATGATATGATATACTTTTCATTATATATATTATTTTTATATAGGATTTTTATTTATAATTATGTCGGTATTCTGTGCATATATAATTTTATACTTGATATACCATCTGGATAAATATATACAGAAGAGTGACTGTAATTGACTGTTTATAATCGTTTCTGAAGATTTAATTCACATACAAAATATTTTCAGAGTTAGTTTCAAGTTTAATTCGTCTAATTTAAGTTAATCGCTTAAAATTTGTATTACAAATTGCTCAGTATAAATTAAATTTTGGTTGATTTTGTGTGTTATTATTTTCGTTGTTACCTATGGAAGTTCTGACAGCTGAAACAATAACAACGCTGCGATCACTCATGTTTACGGGTCTTGAATAAGCACTACCGATTCCGTAGAAAAATGCACGAAAACTGCCGTCGTGGAATAGCTTAACAGAAGCACAGCATGAACGACGTCATATCAGGAATGGCTGTTTCACGAAAGTGTGTCATACCACGACGCATACTTGCGCAGAAGGGAGAAGGATTGAAAGAGGGGGAACCGACTACTGCTCTCGAATATATTATACAGAATTTCTTACGAATTAAAAGAAGCCGAAAAAAAATTTACATTCAATCACGTCGTATACCATATGCGTCTGTTCGATGTGGTGTCTTATTAATTAATGTACAGAAAAAAATAATGAAATAATAATGAGCGTGAGCTACAAGATTACACATAACATATATATATATGCTACGTGCACGTATCATGGCAATATGCAAAGTGATAATTTTTTGTCGTCCGTTACGTCATAGCTGATAAGTTGAAAGGAAATTATTACGCATGGATTTAATATTCGATTTCATGTTCAATGAAATAGAGTGGTAAAATCGATAATATAACTTGTACACATTTTTATACAATATTCTTATATTATTCATTAAAAAATAAGCGTTAGAGTTTCTTTAGCAATACCACAATGATAACATCATTCTTCGAAGTCGTTAAATTCATCGATAAAATAGTTCTTTTCTAAGAGCAAAGTGAGCATCTTCAGAACTTCGACGAATTTGCAACAATCGAGCACAACAATCTATTATAATTAACCAATAAATATTTATCCGTCTGTCGGAGCCGTCAAGTTGGCATTTTTCAAGAAAAGTACAAGAAAGAAAATATTTTCAACACTCGTAAAATGTTAACACGAATTCAGTGATTATAACGCGCCGGTGAGCATAAATCAAACGTAATGTCAACATCAAAAGAAGATAACTGTCAACACAGGAACGAAGGCCATACAAGCAAAGAACTCCAATCAAAGTAATAATCTCGGGTAAAAAACTGAATTTAACAAGATCTCTGAAATACAAGAGTAAACGTCAAGACAGACGCCGCGTGTCCCGAACCCACTAGACACAGCCCTGCGACTGGCAGGCGTTGACTCAGCCACGACACAGTAGGTGGCGTTGCGGCGGCGAGTCGCTGGCGCCGCGGTGCGGCGTCGGCTCGTTTGTTTTTACCCAACGTGCATTGTGGGACAGTGACTGGTGCTAAGATGGCTGACAACAGGGAGGAGATTTCGAAGCTCGTCGAGAAACGAGGTATTTGTCGGCGTCGCGTCCCTTTGCTTGCCGCGATCCGTCCGTGCCGCGACAGCCCGGCGTCACCGGGTCGCTTACGTCGCCGTGGCGGCGCACCGTGCTCCGTAACTGCCACGAGGTTCGCCGCCCGCACGCACGCATCCGCACATCGTCGGTGCGATATCGCACCGTGCGAGCGCGTTGCGAGTCGCTCGCGAGGAAAGCACACACGCCAACTCGGCATTCGCTCCGGGTTCACGTACGACGGTACGGAACGAAGTCCGCGACATCCCGACGCGAACGTGCGACCCGTTCACGGCGGCTGTCATCGCCGTCGTTCGATCACTCTTCCTGTCGCTTATAAGACGTGCCAGCCTAACGAACGTTTGACAGTATACGATTTTGCGATCGGTCGGTTAATCGCTCAATCAGCAGACGGTTGGATCAGTTCGCGCAGCCTCGCGTAATATCGCAAGATTAACGCCCGCCCGAGCTGCCGGACTGATTACTCATTAAGGTCACGCGCCGACGGCCTTGCGGTTTGCGTCGACTCCGCGACGACCGTCCCCGAGACCGCTCGAGATTACCGTTATCTATCTCTGTCTTTCGCTCGAATTCGCTGTCTCCTTCCGATCCTGGCTGGCTCATGCGATCGTTCTCGCGAATTTAACGCCGGTTGATTCGCGTTACACCTACGTGTATATCCTCGCGAGTGTGCTCGCGCGCCGCGGATCCTCGACGTCGCGGCCTCTCACGCGGCACGTCAGCCGCGCGGCGCCACCGCGCCGCGCGTGAGGCCCGCAACGTGCTCTCTCGCTGCCGGCCGTTTGCTCCAGTCGCTCCGTCAGCGCACAATGTAGACGCGTTAACGACAGCTGGGGACCAGCTTTTGGCCGAACTGACTCTGTTTCGGAATTTTTCGAGATCAACTTGTACGCGAATTTTCTAAATCCTTAAAATTTTCATGATGCTCTGAATTTGCCTTTTTTTGGTTTGTGTCGGCACAAAGAAGTAAAAACGTAGACTTTTAATTGAACGTAGAATTTCAATATGAGAATTAATTATAAACGAGTTTTATATTGAACGCTAGAACATGATGAGATGCCTCTAGTGAAATATTTGTTAAGGAAGTATCGATTGTGGTTAAAATAATCCTGCCATAGCAGGAGGAGGATAACCGATACATAGCTGTGTGTGCCGGAGCAGACAGGAACATTGGTCGGTTTCACGTTTCTTAAAAAGTATTAGTATAAAGGTTCTCGAATTTCTTAGATATCGATTGATATTACATTTCTTTATTTTCGAGGACTGCAAAAAGCTATCAAGTTGTTATTTCAAGTGTCGTGTTTACATTCTCTTATCTTCTAACTCTATCTTAAGTCACTAACCTGACTTTTATGACATGCGAACTTCGGCCATTTATAACTTTCCTGGACTTGACGTTGATTTTAGAAGGTGCGAAATACTTTACGAGATCTCTATCCGAGATTACATCTAGATATTTTCTGTACTGTAATCAGCTAACGGCGCATCACTATCGAATTATCTTTACTTCTGAAAGACTATTCTAAAATGTTCAATTATTCCCCATAAATGAGGTCTCTTACATTCTACCTGTCTTCATTAAGGGTGATAATAGTAAACGGGATTAGTAAGCAACTAAACTAGAAAATGATTGCGGACGACGCCCAATATATCAAACGGAGCGAACAGAACGAGCCGAATGAACATCGCGAGGTGATCACTTGATATTTCTGATATAGTCCGTTACGCGTAACGAGATTAACTGTTATACGTGTCCAACGATGCGCCGTGTCCCGCAACGATGCAAGTTTTGCACATCGGTCCGATGCACATTCGCATGCGATTTATACTCGAACCTTGTAACTTCTACATGAACGCCTATACTTTAGACTCCCTCTCCGGAGTTTCAACGTCTAAATTACACAACCACGAGTCTTGAGTGACGATAATTCGCTCATTTTTATCTCGTGTCGCAATTTCTTCGACGAGCCGGAGATCCTGCCGGATAAGATCAGCGTTTTATTTTTGCGAAGATCCGCGAAGAACGAGGATATTTTGAGACGCGAACGGATATTTATGGCGAAGGGGCTTTTTCAGTAAATAGCACAACGATTAACCTCGTCGGATTTCCACACCGAACGGAAGATATTGACTCGGCTCGATCGGACATAAATCGTAAAGTTGTCGTGCAGAATTGTGTGGCACGCCTTCGCTTCGCGTGACTATAGCTTCGATTCCCTTATCGCGCCGATATCCCCACGATCACTATCGGTTTCGGTTTCGTTGCATTATTGCAGAGTGTGCCAGCCGCAATCAAGAATTCAGTGGTAAACCGATAAACCGATAAAAATTGCTGTAATATAATGTAATTAATACAGAGATTTTATTATATACGTATACGCGAGCATAATATTCGAAATTCTCTACCCTGGGTATAAAAAGTTTTTAGGTTAATAAAATTTTATCTCTACGAGATTTCTTTTACTTTATTATTACTAATGTTACATAAAGATCATATGTGAGCCCGTAAATTTATAAAGCACATGCGAAAAGAAACTTTGTTCAAATAGCGTTTGCTTTGAAATTAGACGACGGTTTTTTGAGTCAGAGAAAGAGATCATTCTTATTTATACGTTCAACGACGCAAGTCTTTAGCTCGATAACCCTGACATAGAGAGTGTCGAGCGATAGATAATTACTGTTTTGACGCTGCGCGTAATAATACCATAACTACTGACGATAATTGTCGCCGCTATCCAGGAATGTTCCGTATTCGCATATATCGGTGGTATATATAATGCGGTTGAGAAACGTTGTAGCAGGATCCGCTTAATACAACTCCTCGCGCGTGCGGTTTCCACGTTGTAAGTTACATCGGTCGCTTTACGTATCCGCCAGATGGTCTCACGTGTGCCGGCATGGTTCAGCGGCTTTTTAACGGAAGGAAGTTGGCCGATTACGGCGCGTTTGTGGAAACACAACGGTCCCTGCCTTTCTTCCAAAATAAATTCCCGACGATCCTCTATTTTCTCTCGTCTTTATCCTTGCCGATACGCCTGCGCGTTATAATGATCATGCACTTTGCAGCGTACTTGTAATGTGTTATGACGTAATGTCGCGTTACACTTCAGTCGTTCGAGTCGAGTTTCACGGTCAGTTTCAACATTTTAACGAGACTTTTCCGGAATGCGCACTCGTGTATTTTTGTGCAAAACAAGGTATTATACCGTTACCTGACGCCTATTCTATCCCGATCGGCAATTCTTACCGGTGTATTTTTATAACGAACAAGCGTCGACAGCGAGCACAGTTTGTTATTATCAATTTGCAATCTCGACGTTGACTTTGCGAACTTCGCGATGATCCACGATCAGTTATAAATATCGAATGACACCCTGTGGCAAACTTTGCATATCGATCCCCATTGAGATGTAAAGCTCGTATGAATTCGTCGAAAGGGGTCGAGCGTACGTTGTGTCACAACTTAATCAGAAATACATGAGTGCATATATGGAGATAAGCATGGCTCACGAATAATTTCCATATCGCTACTCCGAATCTCTTTGAATACTTACCTTCATGGCTTAACGTCCGATTTAAAAAGAAACTTGGTAGCAGAGTCAAGAGGAGTTCATAAGTTCGACCTCGAAGTAAACTCCGCAGCTACGACGGTTCATTGTATGGAGTAACGTCTCTCTCTCTTTCTCTTTCTCATCGTAACATTACGAGCCTGTTGACTCGATCATTCGAGACGACGCGCTCGTGTTTCTGATTGATAGTGCTTTGGCGGTACGGGTAGCGTGTAACGAAGGCTCTTAAGTAGGTTGCAGTTATTTATTCTCGCAACACCCGTATGATTGTGCGCCTCGGTAACGGTACGGCATTGTTGTTCGCCCCCGTCCGAAGTCTGCGTTTAAAAATCTGATCATTTATTACTGGCTTTGATAATTCCATCGCGTGCCGCTTTCCATCGTTAATCCCTCAATGTCGGATTCCCGTGCCATGTACTTTCAAAAGGCAA